TTAATTAATTGTAATCACACTTTAATCCAGGAGGTTCTCTTAGATCCCGTGACCATACAAAGTAAAAATTATAACAACACTAGGAAAGAAATATTATAGGGTGGTAACAAGACTTTCAAACAAAAGAAATATGTGATAGCTTTGTCTCCATGTGATTGACGTAAGAAAAAAAAATAAGATGAAACTCTTTCCAGAAAAATATGGAGTTGGGGGCGGGGGAATGATTTAGCCAGGTGTGGTGGGGCATACCTTTAATCATAGTACTTAGGAAGCAGAGGCAGGTAGATCTCTGTGAGTGCCAAGCCAGTCCCGTATACTTAACAAGTTCCAGGACAGCTAGGGCTACAAAGAGAGACCCTCCCTTTCTCTCTCACGCGCACCCCCCCACAGATTCAGAAGGGATGAGGAGGCAGGTAAGAAGCCCATCCTGGTGGCCAGCTTCTGCCCTTCCAGAAGGGGTGTTGATGTGAAAGTGAGGTATGGAAATTTAGACGTAAAAACAGATCGGAGAAAAACTCAAGAGACTTTGGCGAAGGAACAGAGGGTAAGAGCGTGACCCAGGGCCAAAGACAGCTGTGGGCAGCCCAGTTCAGGGGTGAGGCAAAGGAAAGGGGGAGAAACAGAAAACAGCACAAGTCTCGGCACCGAACTGAAGCGCAGCCTAAAGCGACAAGGCCCGGAATCTGCACATCTGCACGGTTGTGGCGCTCGGGAAGTTTGTTCTTCCCAGCATATAACCCAAGTGCAGCGTCCAGGAGCCATCTTTTAGAAGGTCTTGCCCCAGGCTGGGCAGTGGTGGCGCACACCTTTAATCTCAGCACGGTGCTCGGGAGGCAGGGGCAGGCAGATCTCTGAGTCCGAGGACACCTGGTCTACACAGCCCGGGCTACTCAGAGAAACCCTATCTTGGAGAAAAGAAGGGGGAAGAAAGGGTCTTGCCTCAGCTTACTGCTTTGGAAGTCAAAGTTCACATTTCCCTGTCTCCTGGAACGGTAACCAAGGTCATAGCTGACCCACCAAATGATGATCTTAAAATGATGAGTCCAAAATTCTGAGCGTTCATGTAGTGGGAAGCTGTCCTGAGATACAAAGGGGACTCTAGAGCTAATATAGACAGACACTGCAAGCGGGCGCTTATATGGGAGTTTCAGACGAGGAGGCAGTACCTAGGATCCCCATGTTTCCCCTTTGAGCCTAGCCCCATAGTGTTCCCCTGACAGGCATCTCAGAAGGCACCAGAGATCTGGATCTAAGGCAGAACCGCCAGTACCAACGCTGCCTGGGGAGTGTGCAGACGAACTAAGCCCCCGATAAACCGGTGCCGTAGAACTTGTGTTCCAGCCCAGCCCATCCTGGAGCAAGGAGCCAAGAGTGAAAGGCTGTGCCTACAAGTCACTCCCCCTGGTTGCTAGCCTAGTGACACAAAGAAGGAGGAAAAGGTAAACAGTGCATGATCTGTGACCTCTCCAAAGGGAACTGCCAGGTCACAGGAACAATAAGTGCTCACTCAGTCGGCTGGTAACTTTCACCTCTACTGACACAACTGACCTCTGATGGAAAGGAAACTGGTGTGTTCATTTTAGCAAATTTTTAAAATGTCATACATGTTTGAATAATTACACATTTTTCTTTTACATCACACTTCATTTCCTCTCCTTTTAATGTTTAATTTTTTAATTCTCTTTTTAAAATCTTTGACTGAACCATCTTTCTCCATTCATTTTCTAAGCTTTTTTTGCTTTGTTTTGTTTTCTAGACAGGGTTTCTCAGTATTGTTTTGGAGCCTGTCCTGGAACTCGCTTTGTAGACCAGGCTGGCCTCGAACTCACAGAGATCCACCAGTCTCTGCCTCCTGAGTGCTGGGATTAAAGGTGTGTGCCACAATGCCTGGAATTTTCTAAGCTTTTTTTTAAAGATTTATTTTTATTTTATGTGTTTCCCTGCATGTGTGTATGGTGTGTAAGGTGCCCACGGAGGCCAGAAGAGGGCACCAGATCCTCAGGAACTGGCACTACAAGGGCAGTGAGCCACTATGTGAGTGCTGGAAACTAAGCCAGGTCCTTAACAAGAGCAGCCAGGGCTCCCACAGCTAAGCTGACCCTCCAGCCTCCGCGCCCCACACCCCTTTTCTTCTTTCTCATCTGATTTAATAATCTCTACCTAGATTTTTTCTCTTCCCTTCTATTCTTCCATGGTATTTTTCTATATTTTATTCTTTGTTAACTAGTTGTGTGTGTAACACACCCTCCACTCTTTGTGACATTCTCTGATCTATGACCATTTGCTGCTTTAATTGACTACAATTGTATGCATTTCTATACCTGGTTGGTTTGGGTGTTATTGCTGCTAGAGTAACTTGTTTCCCCTTTTCTGGGTGCCACTGGAGATTGGGCCCCCAGAAGAAGGCTGTTCACCGAGGTCACCAGGTAAAACTGAGGGAGGTTTCCAAAACACAAAAGCACAGAATACGGCACAGAAACGCGAGGAAGAGGCAGTGCAGTGGCTCCAAGCGATGGCAACTTCTCAGTCACTGACTCCAGGAATACTGAAATGATCACAGTCCCAACAAAGACTCACAAACCTACCTCTACAAGTCATCGATGGCCTAAAAGCAAATCATCAGTCTGGGGCTGGTGAGATGACTCAGTGTGCAAAGGCACTTGCCACCAAGACTGACGACCTGAGTTCAGTGTCTGTAATCCATACAGTGGAAGGAAAGATCCGACTCCTGCACATTGTCCTCTGACCTCTACATCTCCGCTGTAGTACACACACACACACACACACACACACACACACACACACACACACACGTGCACGCACATGCACTGTCACACCGTGAGAGTCACCCAGGGAAAGGGAAGCTCCATGGAAGAATTGCCTCCATCAGATTAGACAAGTCTGTGGGGGCATTTTCTTGATTAATAATTGATGTGGGAGGGTGCAGCCCACTGTGGGCAGTGCCATCTCTGGGTAGGTGGCCCTGGACTGTTTAAGAAAGTGGGCTAAACAAACCATGGAGAGCAAGCCTGCAAGCAGTGTTCTTCCATGGTTTCTTCCTCAGTTCCTGCCTCCAGGTTCCTGCTCTGAGTTCCTGCCTTGGCTTTCTTAGATGGTGTACTGTAATCTGTAAATGAAACAAACTTTCCTCCACAAATTGCTTTCGGTCCAAATGCTTTATCACAACAGAGACACACTATAGTGTGCACACACACATAAATAAATAAATGTAATTTTGAAATTCATATACACATGGGAGACAAAGTAAGCAGGGCTTTTAGGTTGTCTCTGATAATGTAGTCTTCAAGCCAAATCAGTCAGAAGAGATACAGGAGGGGATATCTCACAGAGGGAAGGACGATGGCGGACACGGTGTGCTAGACTGCAGCAGGTAACCCAGACAGAAATCGCTTAAAGAAAAGGGAAGTACCATGAGAATCTGCACTTACACTGCAAAATACAAAGCAACAGGAAAGGCTCCAGTCTACCCTGGAGGGACTGGAATGTTCTGGGAGCTCCCCTTTCCCAGCGACTGGACCCATAGCTTAAAACGTCAGAAAATTGACGCTTTGCACTTGGTGACATATTTTTAAGAGAGAGAGGGAAAGGTGGGAGAGGGGAGAAAACTTACCCAGTGGTGATGGAGGGAGAGGAGATGCTGGGAAACCCCTTTCTGTTTAGCTCCCAGAGCAGTGGTGAAGTGTCTTTTTTAAAAGACCCTTCAGCCTGGCATTGGGGGCACAGCCGGGAGGTGGTGGCACACGTCTTCAATCCCAGCACTTGGGAGGCAGAGGCAGGCAGATCTTTGTGAGTTCGAGGCCAGTCTGGTCTACAAGAGCTAGTTCCAGGACAGCCTCCAAAACAATACAGAGAAACCCTGCCTCAAAAAAAAAATTGTTAAAAAAGACCCTTCAAGGCCTAGGAAGATGCTTCAGTTGGCAAAATGTTTACTGAAAAAGAGAGAAGTTGAGAGTTTGGATCCACAACACTCATGTAAGAAGCCAGGTGCCTGGCACACTCCTGAATCTCCATGCTAGGTAGGAGGAACGCTGGCAATGGCCCAGCTGGTTTTTCCAGTAAGCCCTCCCACTCAGCAAATGACCCTGTCTCCAGGACACGGCTAATTTGGTAAAGATGCCTGCTACCAAGCCTGCTTCTCCAAGTTTGATCCCCACAACCCCCATGGCAGAGGGAGAGAACCAGCTCCCAAAAGTTGTCCTCTGACCTCCACACATGTGCCGTGCACGCAGACAGACAGACAGACACAGACACACACACACACACACACACACATACACATACACACAAATATACTACAGATAACAAAACAAAAAAGAAGACCAGATCCTGGAAGATATCAAGTAATCACAGACACAGTCTTCTAGAATATCCAGGGACTATGGGGCTGGAGAGATGGCTCAGCAGTTAAGAGCACTGGCTGCTCTCCCAGAGGACCTGAGTTCAATTCTCAGCACCCACATGGCAGCTCACAACTGTCTGTAACTCTAGTTCCAGGAGACCTGATACCTTCACATCAATGCATATAAGATACATTTAAATAAGTTATTTTTAAACATTCTAGAGAATATCCAGGGCTAAAGAGATAGCCCAGCGGCTAAGAACACTGGCTGGTCTTCTAGAGGTCCTGAGTTCAATTCCCAGCAACCACATGATGGCTCACAATCATCTGTAATGAGATCTTGTGTCCTCTTCTGGCCTGCAGGGACACACATGCAGACAGAACACTGTATACGTAATAAATAAATAATAAAAAAAGAATATCCAGGGACTAAATTGGGAAAATGTGGGCAGCAGCTATCAGAAGAGCTGAGTGACACCCAAGCATATCTAGCTTCAATAGCAAATCGACCTCTACAAAGCAGGAGACAATGCCCAGTTCCATTCTGGGAGATTCGACTTGGCTAGAGGAGTTCCCACCTTGAGTGGCAGACATGGGAGCCATGATTTGGTATAAAAGAGACAGACTCCAAAAATCTGCATTGTGTTTTCAGATGTGGTGGCAAAAGCCTTTAATCCCAGCACTCCGGAGACAGACGGATCTCTGTGTCCGGATGGTGAGTGATCATGATCTCAGAACCCAGATTCAGGGTACCCCAAAAAGCTGCTAGCTGACACATGCTCCAGCTCTGGCTGGAGCTCTAGCCGTGACCCTGCTCAGCAGGCTGTGCAAAAGGACTTGAGAGAAGAGGTCATGTTTCTTCCTCCGGAGGATTTTGTGCTCTTCAGCCATCATGTCTACGATTTCCTCTTCCTCTCCCTCTGTAACCCCGGGTCTGCTGTAGATTCCATACATAAGATTCCCGTCTCGGCAATCCTGCCTATGTTGAGGGAACCCCTCCTTTTTCAGGGCTGAATAATATTCCGTTATGAATCTAGACCACCTTTTCTTCCCCAACCATCTGTTGATGGACACTTACGTTGGCTCCATTTCTTCACTATTGTGAAAGTGTTGTGATGAACATGAATGTGGGCATCTCAGTTGGGCAGCGGTGGCTCACACCATTAATCCCAGCACTCAGGAGGCAGAGGCGTCAGATCTCTGTGAGTTCAAGGCCAGCCCGGTCTACAAATTGAGTTCCAGGGCAGCTAAGACAGTTACAGAGAAACCCTGTCTCAATTAAAACAAACAACAAAACCAAAACAAAGCGTGTGTGTGTGTGTGTGTGTGTGTGTGTGTGTGTGTGTGTGTGTGTGTGTGTACACCACAGTGCATATCTGAAGGTCAGAGGAAAGTATGGGCTGGGGACATTGCTCAACAATAGGATACTGTCCTAGGCATCTCTGACAAACTGAGGTCAACTCTTTTGGGAAAACACCAAGGTGGGATTACTAGATTGATGACAGTCTTTTTGAAGCTGCTGAGGAGACCTTCTGGATTCCACATTTTTGCCCTAAATTAGTGACTGTATGACCTGAGCCTGTTTTTCCCCCTCCACAAAATAAAATCAATTCTATCCATCAGCAACAAATTAACTCTGTAGTCCTTTAAATCATCGCTTCCTGTCACAAGCAGAGCAACTCCTTCCAGCTACAGCCAGTTCTAATTTCCCATAAGACATTTTGGCATCCTTGCTACAGCACTTAGGTGTGATGACAACTACTTACCCTCAGTGACAGAGTCCTGATGCCTTTTGGCCAGCATGCTCCAATTCCAAAATCTCACTCACCCAAAGTCTGTTTCTTAGACATACCAGCCCCACATGTCTTAAGTAGTCCTTCGAGAGCAGGCTGTGAAGAGAGAGAAGCTGTGTGCAGGTGGTGTGTTAAGGAAACTCTCCCAGGAGAGACTGGAAACTGAACAGAAATCAGAGAGAGAGGGGAAGGCAGAGCAAGGGGATCAGAGCTGCAGCCTGATCCCACAGGGAGCTTTGGAGTGTCAACCACACCTTGAGGTCTGTCCTGACTTGTTGCTGCAAGGGAGCTGGACTTTCATACTCCCACTCCACTGGGTCTCTGGCTGAGACCCGTCTCAGGATGGGTGGGTGTTAGTTCCCAGGCACTTTTACCTCTTGGTGCCTGTGGGCAAAGCCTTGGTAATCCCAAAGCACAGCTTTGAAGGGAATCTCTGGTGTGGACTGCGGAGACAAAGGCCACAAAGATGGGTTGGGTAAACCACAAAAGGGGGCCTAGGCTGCAGTGGAGGGGGTTGGGCAAACCACAAAAGGGGGCCTAGGCTGCAGTGGAGGGGGTTGGGTAAACCACAAAAGGAGACCAGGCTGCAGTGGAGGGGGTTGGGCAAACCACAAAAGGAGACCAGGCTGCAGTGGAGGGGGTTGGGCAAACCACAAAAGGAGACCAGGCTGCAGTGGAGGGGGTTGGGCAAACCACAAAAGGGGGCCTAGGCTGCAGTGGAGGGGGTTGGGCAAACCACAAAAGGGGACCAGGCTGCAGTGGAGGGGGTTGGGGCTCACGACAGGACGTGCAGAAGGCCCTGGGCTCAGTCTCTTGGACCGAGTGGGGCAGCCTGGAGGAGAACCCCCCGCATCCACCATGTTGCTTTCTTCCTTTTGCAGGGGAGCCAGATGCATCAGTGAGGGGGTGGAGGGAGCAAGACAGCGACAAGGACAAGGAGGACGGAGAGGACAGATGGACAGATGTGGACTGTTATCCTGATTTGCTGGGTCTGCTGAGGTAGCCAGAAGCCTGGAGACCTCCACAGTTTGAAGGCGTCCCTGATCAGGCCTTGTGTCCTGTGCTCTCAGGGGTGATGTTCTTTGAGGTCAGGAGGAGCTGACCTTGTTGGACGAGCTACTGTCTCGTTCTTCGTTGTCTTGCAACACAGCCTCTTCTGAGGTTGCTAACTGGAAAATGGGGAACCATATGTTTGCTTTGCTGTATGCTTCCACACAGGTGGGGCAGTCACATGCCATTGGGTAGACTGACAACTTGCTCTGCCCAGTGCCTAGAGGGGGACCCAAGTGGTATGTTTAGTTGAAAATTGAGCAGCCATGCTTTCCTTCCTTCCTTCCTTCCTTCCTTCCTTCCTTCCTTCCTTCCTTCCTTCCTTCCTTCCTTCCTTTCTCCCCCTCCCTCCCTCCCTCCCTCCCTCCCTCCCTCCCTCCCTCCCTCCCTCCCTCCCTCTCTCTCTCTCTCTCTCTCTCTCTCTCTCTCTCTCTCTCTTTCTCTGTCTCTCTCTCGTCTATTTTTTTTTTTCGAGACAGAGTTCCTCTGTGGCTTTGGAGGCTGTCCTGGAACTAGCTCTTGTAGAGCAGCCTGGTCTCAAACTCACAGAGATCCACCTGCTTCTGCCTCCCGAGTGCTGGGATTAAAGGCATGCACCACCATCGCCCCCAGCAAAAGCTGTTTTAGTCCTGCATTCTTGTTTGACCTAATCTCTCTCTCACTGCTTCATGCTTTTAAGCCATTCTAGAATATACCAGTTTATCCTCCAAGACAGTGTAGCTCTTTTAGGGGGTGTTCCCTGAATCTTCTGGGCAGTGTCAGCCTGAACCAGTGTTCTGCTTTCCCAGCCCTGTCTCCACGAGGGAGAGTATGTTGAAGACAGTGTCCAGGCATTACTCATGACTGTATCTCCAGCACTGGGCATGTAAACAGGGGACAGTTAACATAGGACAATCTCATTTTCCCAGTCCTCCACATCCCTTAATGCACTAGGGGTTTTTGCCAGTCTCCTGAATTCTTGGAACCTCACTTTTCTAGGCTTTAATGGCAACCATACCAGGTGCCGGCTCATTTGCATTCCCCAGACAGAAGCAATCGATGATGTGCCTACACCATCAGCAGGAGTCCAGAGGTAACAGCAGCTCAGGGCTAAGAAGTGGGCTCTTTGTTTAAAAATGAGGAAAAGGGTGCAGTGTGGAATGTCCATGGTTTTCACCTTTAATCCCAGCACTCGGGAGGCAGAGGCAGGCAGATCTCTGAGTTTGAGGGCAGCCTGGTCTACAGAGAGAATTCCAGGACAGTCAGGGCTACACAGAGAAACTGTCTTGGAAAAAAAAAAAACAACAACAACCAGAATAAATAAATAAATAATATTGAATGATCAGAGAGACTATGACCTCTTTCCTCTCTTAAAACAGAAACTGTCAAGTGTGACTTGCCTGATGGAGGAGGCTCTTACCTACTCAGAGGATAAACACATGGGAAGCATGCCTGCTGCCCCACTCCAGCCAGAAAGAACAACAGTGCATGCAAATTACCTTGTTATTTTATTAGAAGCATATTTACATTTTTTGTTTGCAGAGGACAGTTTACAAAAAATTTACATGATGGTTGGAAATGACATACACATTACATCTATCCTTCATGAAGGGAAATATAAGTTAGATATATTTACTCAACCGAAAACATTTCTGCCTGTCCCTATACAGAAAACATTAGCACAGGGTACGAGGAATACTGCGTGGGCCTTGTCGGCAGCAGGCATTGCACATATACTAAGTGATGAGGCTGGGAGACTAGACTAGACCCCACTCAAAAAGGCACAGTAGAGCCACCAGGGCTCAGGTGGCACTAAGTGTGGAGGTGACAATCACACAAAGCACCAGAACAGTATGAATGGTAAGTCAGGGAATGATCAGACACTACCTGAACCACAAAAGTGGCATTTTGCCTAACAGCCACTGTCAAGTCCCCTGGATGCAAAAAAAAAAAAAAAAAAAAAAAAAAAAAAGCAGATTGTAAACAATGGCAGAAGCAGCCCTGCCCACTTGGCATCTCTGGGCCCTGCAGGTCCCCTCTGCCAGCTTTCCTGTTTCTCAGCCACCATGCACCAGAGAGACCTGAAGGCAAGCTGAGGCTCACTACCCTGAGATCTATCACCCTCCTGGGCTGTGTGAGCTTCTTCTTTTTTGGTTTTTCAAGACAGGGTTTCTCTGTGGCTTTGGAGGCTGTCCTGGAACTCGCTCTGTAGACCAGGCTGGCCTCGAACTCACAGAGATCCACCTGCCTCTGCCTCCCGAGTGCTGGGATTAAAGGCGTGCGCCACCAACGCCCGGCTCTGTGTGAGCTTCTTTACTGCACACACGATCTGGGAGTCCTAAGACCTGTTGTTTTTCTAGCTCACTCCCCCTGAGCACCCAGTTATCATCTGGGGAAACTTTCCAGGGAATCACCTCAGCATCAGACAGCTGATGGAGACATTCTGCTGAGGTCTCAGCCACTCACCAGACTCAGCTGCCCAAGCCCCAGGCAGCAGCAGCAGCAGCAGCAGCAGCATCAGCATCATCAGGATGTGGCTTTAAAAAAAAAAAAGTATCTTTCGAAGGCAGCCAGCCATTTACATCTACTTTTATGGAGCACTTGGGCATCAGAGTCAAAAAAGGTTTGTTTTATCAGTGAACACAGGCTGTGTGGAACAGCTGCTTTTCTGGGTTGTGACACATGGTAGCCTGGGGGTTCAGCACCTCAGGAGGCCACCTGAGCAACCCAAAGGCCCAGAACCATGGGTGTTCAGTGTCTCTGCTTCTGCATGTTCCTGAGGGCAGGAAGCATTTCTTCAGGGGGAATGAAGTCCAAGGGACCACCGGGCTTATTATGTACAGGGGGACCAGGACAGGACAAGAGCCTTCCCAGGACACCTGCAGACAAGTGGACAAGGGTGAGGTTGGCAGGTGCTGGGCAGCAGAAGTTGGCTGTGGAGGGGAGTTTACCCCTGGACACGGGATCCTGTGTGCAGCCAAATGAGTTGCAGGCTGGCAGTACAGCCTGTGCCTTCTCTGGGCCCTGGTGCCAGCACTCAGCATGTCCCCACCTGCTGCTCCACATGACATGCTCATTGGCCCAGGATCAGGCTCAGGAGGCAGCAGGCAGTGTCAGGAGGCCAAGGTGTGTGTGTGTGTGTGTGTGTGTGTGTGTGTGTGTGTGAGTGTGTGTGTGTGTGTGAGTGTGTGTGCACGTGCACACAGGGAGAGAGAAATGAGATAGGATACAATGCCAGAAACCAGGATAAACATTTCTGCCCTCCCTTCCCCCTCCCACCCCCACCAAACAGGTGACTCAGGGACTGAGGATACCCCTGAGCGCTGGCTGCTGAGAACTGAAATGGCTGTTCGGGATGTTTTCCGACGCTGTGGGGAACTGCTAAAACAAACAAAAAAACCCACAAGGATTACAATGAGGATGAGTTCACCGTGATGACATTGGTAGCGCTTGTGCCCACAGACAGTAGAGCTGATGTTTTGGTAAACAGGAGGGGTACACCCATTACGCCTGCCCCCTGACCCCAATAGCTGTAATCACTTCCAGGTGATGGGAATGTGAGTCTTGACGAAGTCATCCATCAGAAGCGCCAGGGTGGCACTGTGGCCAGCTGGGGCATTGCGGGCTGAGGGGCTGGTTTAAGCTGGCACAGAAGCAAGAGAAAGAGGTCCTGAGTCACTTGTTCTCAGAGGCTTGGAGGCCCCAGTGGCCATGCTGCCACAGCACCCACCACAGCCCAGGGACAGGGGTGTTAGGAAGCATCCCCAGAGCTGTAGGGGAAGAACTTGCTGGCTCTGTTGGGTGTAGTGGGTCTGGGTTCTGCCTCTTCGCTTAGTTTGAAGAACATTTCCTGTTCCCGCTTCTTCTGGTTCAAATCCTCTTCCAGGGCCTGGGGAAGGGAGGGCAGATGGTACTCAGTGAGATGCCAATCATTTCGATAGGAACAGCATGGCCTCTCTGCACAGCTCCCACCCAGGCTCCAGGGAACAGGTGGAAGGTCTCTCCTTCCTCTCCCTGAGGTGAGCGCGCGCACACACACACACACACACACACACACACACACACACACACACACACACACACACCATGCCTCTTGCCAGGCACCTTGTGAACTGCTCACAGGCCCAGGGTAAATCCTGAGGAAAAGAAGGGCTGCAGCACAGACAAGCCTCTCCTGAGAGAAGAGAACCAGATGAATGAAGAAAAACCAGGGGAGAGGATCTAATGACAACTAAGTCAGAGATGGCAGAGTGACTCCATGCTCCTTGTCAGGACACTGCCTGCTGGGAAGACAGGCACCTCTGCCCCTCTGAGGGTCTGATCCCAGAGATATGTGGGGCGCTAAGCTCCTCAGGCAGCTGGAGGCTGTTTTCCACCTGGCAGGGCACACAGGAGCTTCCTTTGGGCACATGCTCGTTTATCCAGATCCACCAGATCCCACCAGAAAAGACTTCCAGAAAGGGAGCAGAAGAGGTGGGGGAGAGCATGGGTCATGAGATAACTTGTCGGAGAAGAAAACTGGATTTATACAAATCTTCACTTAAAGGCTCGCAATTGAAAAAAAACAGAAAAAAATCACTAAATTGGCCCAATGTAATGTAATGCGTTTGTAAACCATGTAGCTCAGGGGTCCAGTGTGTGACCCCCACTGGAGGGGTCCCTAACAGTTCTACTGTTGTGTGGGCACAGGATGGCTTAGTACATCACCCAATTTTACAGCCAGGAATAGCTGAATATTCTCCACCCGCAAGGCTAAGATGTTCCAAGATCTGAAGTGCTAGTTTGATGCCACAGTGAAAAAATCCCACTCATAGGATGGGTGGCGATCAAAAGGTAGGTACACCAAAATACCTTCTGACTGTGTACAAGGAAGGACCTGGGAGACAGGGCTAAGTCTACCCGGACCGGGGTCTTGCTATGGTTTGAGTGTAAAATGTCCGCAGAGGCTCATGTGCCTGAACACTTAGCCCCCAAGCTGGTGGGGTGGGAGGAATGGCTGGTGAAGGGAGGGTTATGAGGGAGGTGTTACGGGGGTACATTTCAGCCCTGATTTCCACCATCTGCCTCTGATGTGACCAGTGCCTCAAATTCCAGTGTGGCCAAAATAAACCTTCTGTCTGGTGCTCTACACAAGCCAAGAGAAGTAACTAACGTGGTCTTGTCCCCAGACATCTCATTAGACATATGCAAATACCCCAAACTTGGAGAAGGATCTGAAACCTCAAACTATACATCTGCTGAAGGGCTGCTCAGCCTCCTACCCACCGCAGCATTCCTCCGCAAAGCCGGAGAAGGCCACAGGCAGCAGCCTGGCTCCTGCTGCGTGCCAGATGGTAAGCATTTAAACAATTTGAGAACGTCATACGTGAGTACTGTATTTACCTCATTTCTTCCATCTTCCCCATGTGTCCTTCTCCACTTCCTCTCAAATCCATGACCCCCCTCTTGTTTGGTTATCGTTGTTACATGTATACAGATGCATGTATGAATACAGCCTGCTGAGTTCACTTTCGGTCGGCTATTTGTATAGTGTTAGAGACCATTGCTTGGGGTTGGCTAACTTTTCAGGGGGCTCATCACCGGAGAAGACTGACTCTTCTCTCAGCAGCCATTTCATTACCTCTAACTCTTCATCTAGAGTGAGGCCATTAGAGATTTTCCCTACCCATGTTGGACCATCAACCAGTGTTGTCATTGTGCAGGCCTTGTTTAAGTGATGTTGTTGAGATGTCACGGGAGCAGTTTCCCTGTCCTATATGGGAGACACTATGCTTCCCAGATCAGTGTTTCCGCTGTAATGCAAAACCAGCCACGCAGAAGACAAATGAGTGAGTTGCTTTCTAGTCAAACTTATTTACAAGTGGGTAGTCAGGCAGGCCTAGCCCACAGGCAGCAGTGGGTCTATAGACACACTTTAAAATGCAGATATGCCTGCATGCCACAGTCTAAAAAGGCAAGCTGAGGAGGGAGAGCCAACTACTTCCAGGCCCCACCCTATCCTCTCAGTGACCACAGCAATTCAGTAAGTCACTTAAAAGGAAGTCATCTGTATTCTTCTAAAAATACTCCCCAGGGCATGATATAAGGGGAGGACAGTGCTCAAGGCTGCTGAACGTAATGCAAGGACACAAAGGACCATTACCTCCAGGCCACTTGGGCGTCTGTGACAGAATCCTGCCCCAAGGCAGTCCCACAGGCACACACCTGCAGTGCTTCCAGGAGCCCATGAGACCATCTAAGGTCACGGGCAGCTGCTGGGTAAGACAACTGCTCATTTTCAGGATGTGCCCCGAAGCGGATGCCCAGAGCTGGACAGGAAGAGGCATGCTCTCTCCCTGATGCAGAGCCAGTGGGAACACTGGCTACCTGTGGGGTTAGTGTGAGAAGTCCCAGCAGGCCACAGCCTGCCTCCTGTCCAGGTACACAGTGCCTAAAAAGCCCTTCAGGACATCAGGCCTTGGCGCAAGGTCAAGGGTAACAAGGGCAGCTCCTCAGAGCTTAAGAATTCCCATGCCTTTGATATATGCTGTGGGCTAATGACTGTAAATGGCCCTACAATCTTATCTCTACCCCGACCACAACCGAGGCCTGTGATGATGACTAACTGGGTACTTACTTTTATAGCTGACAAGAGCAATTGAAAGAGGAAAGGGTGTGCTCTGGCTCACGGTTTGAGGGCACAGCCCATCATGGGAAGGCAAGATGGCAGGAGCATGAAGCACCTGGTCCCACTGCATGTGCGGTGAGGATTCTGCCAAAGCTTCAGTGACCCAGCCCAGCCTGACTCCAGCCTCGAGACCCTGGAGATGCTCTGGGGAGACCCCAGCTTTTGAACCCTATTACTATAGATTTTGATAAAGAGTGTGGCTTAAGCTGCTAAATATATTGCTTTGATGCTGGGGACGGAGGGCAGAGAACCGCACGTGCTAGGGTAGGTGCCCCCCCCCAGCTGCACACTGATTAGGAAACCAATTCAGAAAGTAAACTAGCGGGTGCTGGCCTTTGACCTCACAGAGCGACTTCCTGGGAGAAGAAACTCCCCACAAACTGGGCTGCCAGCATGACTGACAGGGGCCTCTGCCTCAGGTGCATATGGGCCAGGGCAGAAGGACGCTGCTGTCCCTGGGAGCGCAGGGCTGCCAGTGTTCAACGCAACAGGGAGATGGGTCCTGTCTCTCAGGGACAGACCCATTTTAGGGATGCCACGAAGCAAGGGTCCAGAAACAGGAAGGCTTCCGACGTACTAGGCAGGTACCTGTGGAATGGCACCCACCAGCCCCGTGCAGTACCTTCTTGCGTGGCCGCAGCTTGTCCCGCCACTCCTTCAGGCTCTGGTTATGGCTCTCATCGAGGGCCTTCAGCTTCTGGGTTTCATGTTCTACCAACAAGTGACACTTTTCGTTCTGGAATAGGCAGAGAAGGGGTGAAGTGAGGAGGCAGGAGCCTGGAGAACCAGACCCCCTGCACCCTTGAGGGCACTGAACCCTGGAGGGCCCTGCAGTCAGTCACCATGGGCTTGTTATGCCTTCACCATTATCCACAGCTCTGCATATGGTAATACACTTGCACCAAGCAATACCTAGAGAACTATTCCAGAACACTAGTGGTAATAGTTCTAAATGGGTAAATCACAGCAATTTTGCAAATTCTGTGTGTGTTTTTAAGATTGTGTGTGTGTGTGTGTGTGCACATGCGCGCGTGCGTGCAGTGTGCATGTGTGGGCATGCATGCCATGGTGTCCATGTGGAGCCAAAGGACAACTGTGTGGAGTCAGTTCTCACTTTTCTCCATTGCATGGCTTCTGGGGGTCAAACTAAGACTGTTAGGTCTGTGCAGCAAGCACTGTGGTCACCGAGCCATCCTGCCTACCCTTTCTGTGGACTCCTGGCATTGTCTAAGTTGTCTGGGTTTTTAAAAAAAGTTTTGGGCTAGTGAGATGGTTCAGTGTGCAAAGCACCATGAGCCTGACAACCTGGGTTCGATCCCCAGAACTCGCTCTAGAAGGACAACAGAACTGGCTCCCAGAAGTTGTTCTCCGAACTGCACATGTGTGCCAGGGTATGCACTTGCCCAAACTTACCTGTATATACAACGTATAATAAGTAAATACATAAACTACAGCCTGCAACTCCTGGTCTGAAGTACCCTCCTGTTGACACCTTTCAATGGCAGGACTAGAGGTGTGGACCACCACATCTGGCTCCAGTCTAAACCTGTGTGCACAATTATTTACCTACAGAAACTGTATGTATAATTGTGCACTGTGTCTAGTTACATATCATATGACACATGTAACTCATATGCAACAGCTCTTGCCTGTGCCATTTCCTCAGGAGAGATCGCCTATCCCAGCCTGAAGGGCCCTTGTGTCGGAATAAAGGCCTTGTCCTTCCTGAGATGGTCCTGGAACAGGACTGAGTTCCTGCCTGATGTTGGGCATTCTCAGGAACCTCCTGCCTCTCTACATATTTTTCCACACGGGCCCAATGGACCGAGCAACTTCCTGAAGTTCACAGAGGCTGGAGTGGGGGCCTCATCGGTCAGGTACAACAATGCCTCGCTCTGCCACAAGGGGGCCCGATGTACGAGTTCGTGGACTGGGCCTTGGGGAATTTTGCTGCTGAAGTCTAGACAGGGGTGCTAGCTCTGTCATGTTCTGAGGGACAAACACCTCCTGCTTGCTGATATCCCTAACGCATGGGAGCAGGGACGCCCAAAGTCAGGGTTCCCACACATGCCAAGGAACCGTGCCGCGCGGCAGCTCAGGACCTGGAGTGCAAGGCACTTCACAAATCCACACACCAGTCCCGCCAAACAGTCATCACCTCCACCCTACGGCTATTTTAGAGGAAGCATGCTAAGGGGGTCGTACAGTTAATCCACGTGTAACATAGCCTGAGTGCAGCATGGCAGGCTGGAGTCGGCTCAGCCGGGCCTGCCTGACGAGGATGCCACCCTGCTGTGGAGCCCTTGGCCTCTGAGCGCCTTGGGGAAACCGAGGCAAGGCCCCGAGTACCTGCAGCTGCTGCAGCTCGCTCATGTTGCTCTCGCACTGGGACACCATGTCTCGCATCTGATTCTCATGTTTCTGCTGCTGCTGCAGCCTCTCCGCCTTCTGCCTCTTCTCCTCCTGCTGGGAGAACTGCAGAGACAGGATGCCATTGTGGGGGGCTCGCCTGCCTCAGGCTGAGCCACTGAGGCCCATCCCGGGAACCGGGCAGCAATGCTCAGAGCCCAGTCCGCTTCATCCTGAGCGGAGACCCAGCCTCTGTCCCCACACCAGCAGGGACCTGACAAGGTGAGGTGACGTGAAAGGAGGCTCTTGGTGGGTGAGAACAGAGAGCGTGATGCACGTAAAACCGTGGGATCATGAAAGGGACCAGTGCATGGCAGACTGCCAAACAAGGATCTGTCCACCAGGGGAGGGTTCTCCTGGGCTATCCAAACTTCCAGGCCATGACTGACTTATCCCCCGCCCCCAGGACCTTATGCCATATCTAGTATTTGACATTCTCCCAAGCTGTGGGAGGTCCGGGCCTCACCAGGTCCCTCTCTGACCATACCCCACCGACTGCCAGGCCCGGCCCCGCACCTGCTTGATCTTCTCACGCTGCTCCGAGGCGCTGCCCCCGCCATTGATGTGCAGGCTTTTCTTGTACATGGCCATGCGTGTCTTGCCCTCACTCCTCTGGATCTTGGGTAGCCGCGCCTTCTCCTGCTGCTGTCTGACCTTCAGCTGCTCCATCATACGCTGGTTGTAGCGCTGCATCTGCTCCCGTTCCTGACAGGACAACCAGGCAGCAGTCAGGGGAGCTCTGGGCATGGAGGGTGCTTAGGAGCCAAAGACCTCATCAACACAGGAGGCCCGGGGTGCCAATACAGCAGAGCTGTCAGCTCAACATTATCAGCTCTTTAAAGTTCTTTCTTTTTACATTGGCTTGTTTCGTTGGGAGGGAGAGGGTTAATCACGAGCATGACACTCAGAAGACAGGTTTCTTTTTTCCACTAGGAGGGTTCTGGGAATTGAACTCAGGTCATCAGGCTTGGTGGCAAGCTCCCTTATCCACAAAGTCATTTCACCGGCCCTGCGTTTTCTTTGAACATTACAGTGTCTCCAACTTCTGATGGTCTGACTCACAGCTTTCTGACTTCCCAGTGGTGTGAAAAACAATGTGACTCAGCTGAGCCCATACTTCGAATTTGAAACAAAATTCCTGGGTGAACAAAATCTACTCCAATATTCTGGATACTGGGCAATGGCGGTGAGCTACAGCTCTGGCTGGCCACATGCTCCTGAGGGGAAATACCCTATAGTGGGCTGCCTCAGAGCTGTGCAACTAAGTAGGAGGCCCGGAGGGCAGGCAGCTGAGGGGCATTTGTACTGTTATTTTCAATTTAGGATGGATGTTGGGGATCGAAACCCCCAACGAATCAAGAAGCATCACCTTCTTTCTCTTTTCTTCCTTTTTCCCCTGGGGTGGTACGGCGGTGGCCAGGGGGGGGGTGAATTCAAGTAGCCCAGGACTGGCTTTTGAACAGAAAGCCAAGCACTAGCACAGAGGTGTTGGAGGTGAGCATGGGAGCTGCCGGCACCATCTGCGCCCCTTAGTTTCCTTGATTCCTGTCCCTCAAGCAGGGCACCCGGGAGAAGGTCTCGGCTCCGGCAGCCCCTGCTGGGTGCCGGCCCCAGACTGTCGCGCCTCACCTTCTCATGCTTGCGCAGCAGTTCATGCCGCTGCAGGAAATACTGGTCCTTAAGTTGCTGCTTCACCAGCTGGTGCCGCTCCTGCAACTGGTGTTCCTCCATCTCCCACAGGGCTGCCTCACGGTCTGCGGGGGACACGCCACCCGCACAGTGAAGAGTGGACAAGGTCTGAGACAGAGCGGGTCTCCCAGCCCTCCCCTCCGCCAGGACTCCTGCCAGGACTGATAACCAACCCGCCAGGCTCAGAGGAACGGGCACCCGGGTTTCCTCGCTAGACCACGTTGGCTGATCTGAGCGGAGCCCTGGAGACTAAGGCTAAGAGACACAAGCCCCAGCAACATGGGAGCGGAGGAGGCAAGGCGCTGTAGTAGGCAGGGAGTGAGCTGCAGCTGGGATGGGGCCAGAGGCCCCAGCTTCCTCCTCCAGCAAATGGCACAAGCACACCCCAAAGAGGGAATGTTCTGCGAAGACACTACTAAGAAAAATCGGCACTAGCCCCCTTCCTTTCTGTTGGGCAGATGAGAATGGAGAACCTATGGACGTGACAAGGGTGAGAAATCCCATGGGGAAGCGGGTCCTCAGCCCGCAACTGGGCTCCACTGCCTTTCTGTTGCTTCTTAGCCGTTTGGACTGTAGAACCCACACAGAGTAGTAGCAACAGACCAAGAAACACAGTAACTCTCCCCAGTGCGGTTTCCTCACTATACATCAGGACTGTAGTAGGAGCTGTCTTACAGGTGAGGGTGGCATGGGGTCAGGTGTGAAAACTGACTAGCACACAGTGTGGCAAGCGGTGGTCACGCAAGCTGCCACTTCTGTGTGCTGTGGGAACTGGTATCTTTGCCTCATTCCTGACTTCCCCGGGGGGCAGGAGTGGGAGGGTTGCCTCTACTTCCACCATTCAGAGTGACTCTGGGCCCCACCTCGGAGGAGCTCCTGCTTCTTGCTGAGGCACTCTCGCTCCTTGTCACAGATCTCACGCCTGTTTTCTGTGGTGAGCTTCTTCATGGCCAGCTCCAGGTCCTCCTTCTGCTTGGCCACAAAGTCTCGGTCCTACAGGGAGAGATGATGAGGTTTTATACTGAGATGGCTTAGGAGACCTCTCTCTCTCTCTCTCTCTCTCTCTCTCTCTCTCTCTCTCTCTCTCTCTCTCTCTCTCTCTCTCAGTGATAGCCTGTCTGCCTCTCTCTCACCAGCTTGGTTGGTTGGTTTGTTTAATTGTTATTTTATATGTGTAAGTGGTGCTGACTGGCATGTATGTGTATGTACATGTGCCTGCCTGCAGAGAGTCCAGAAGAGGGCACTATATCTCCTGGAATTTCAGGATGGTTATAAGCTGCACAGTTTGTGTGCTGGGAACCAAACCCAGATCTCCTGCAAGAGCAGAAAACATTCTAAACTGCTGAGCCATCTCTCCAGCCTGTGTTTTCAAAGTTATCTACTCATAATTGTGTGGGTGCATGGCTGCAGTGTGCTGTTTCAGAGACTTTGGGGGAATTCATGTCCAACACCTCAGATATTGATCATTTATATAACACATTTAAGACCCTCTCTTGCTGTGTTGAACATGTACATTGTTATTATTGGGCCTGGTCACCCTTCTGTGCTACTGAACTCAAAAACCTGTTTCTTTTACTAGTAACCAAACTCACTTGGCTAGAAAGAGGCAGGTCGTGAGGTCCACTCAAAAGTCAGGGAAGTCTAGAGTCAGGCCAAGTACCAGGCCTTGCTCTACTGACCTCAACTCTGCAATGTTACCTTTCTGAGCTCTGATTATTTGTGCAAATGGAAAACCAAATATCTCCTACCCCAAGGTACCATAAACGCTTGACCAGATCTGTAACTATGGGCTACAACTGCCTGCACCCAGGATGGAGGAGGTAGAATGTGCAAAGGACGCCCCCCACCCTCCCTTCCCCCCCCACAGTGGAGAAAAGAGAAGCATTCCAGCAAGGGGTGAGAGGCCGGTAGGGTCAAGCCGGGAGGGGCCAGGAGGGCCGGGTAGCAGCAGGCACAGTGAGGGGGGCCTCAGCTCATGGGCAAAGGGAGATTGCTGAAGGATCTCAGGGCCCAGAGATGGGGGAAGAAAGGGTCACAGGGCCAGATTTGGATTTCATATTGACAATACCTGCTGGTCTGAGAGAAAGAAGTACAGGAAAGCAAGAGGAAGCAGGAAGAATGGCTGGGAAGCTGGGAGAGAGCTGCAAAATCAGTGGGGAATCCAGCAACATTGGCAGATTCATGCGTCAAAAGATTGGTGAAATATGGATGGATGGACGGATGGATGGATGGATGGATGGGCGGACGGATGGAAACGTGTGTGTGTGTGTGTGTGTGTGTGTGTGTTGTATATCTGTAGTGTGCTTAGTATGTATGCATGTATGTATGTTGTATGTTTTGTGTTGCATGTGTGTATTGTGTTTATATAGTGTGTTATACGTGGGGGAGCATTGTGTGTGTGCATGTGTGCGTGTGCACCAAGCATCAGGAGGTGATGGTGAAGTGGAGGGAAAGGCTGGGTCAGGACAGATGACTGCTCTTGGTTGACAGGAGATGTGACATATGAACAATTTCCAGTAAGGTAGGCAGGTCTAAGGTGCAGGCTGCAGTGACCAGAGACGACAGGGCTCACTCTTGGGGCTGGAGGGCAATCAGGGAAGATGACGGCAGAGGTCAACAAATGATGGGCTAGATTTAGGCATTCAAAACAGGAAGCAGATATTCAAGCAGCAGGCCCGGGCAGGTAAGGGGGACCATTTGGGCAGCTGAGTGACGGAGGCTGGGGACTCACAAGCAGCTGCTTCTTCTGGGAGTGCTCTTCCATCTTCAGCCTCATGTTCTCCTTCCGCTGCTGCCGGGGCAGCTTCTCAACCTCACTCTTCACCTGCAGCAGACATGGCAGGGACAGCTTTCACCAGGGCCCCTCCCATTCTGGATGCACTATGAGCTCTGCTCACGCTTGACCCAGGAAATATCTATCGCACAGATAGGCTATCCACATCTAAGGCCTGTTTCCGCTTCTGTGGGAGTCCTGTCCCTCTGCTGAGACACTATAGTCCCTAAGGTGCAGGTGGTGGACTCTGTCCAGCCTAATGGGGACTCGAGGTTGGCACCTCAATCTGAACAGCACCATCAATCTGAACAGCACTGTCTAACTGAACAGTACTGTCTATCTGACACAACACTGTCACTCTGATGTTTACACAAAATTCCACCCAGCACACAGAATGGCAACCTTTTCAAGTATGCATGGAACATTAGCTAACAGTTCTAAACCATAAAAAGAATCTTAAACTTTTTTTTCCGAGACAGGGTTTCTCTGTATTGTTTTGAAGGCTGTCCTGGACCAGGCTGGCCTCAAGCTCACAGAGATCCTCCTGACTCTGCCTCCCCAGTGCTGGGATTAAAGGCATGCGCCACGAACGCACGGCTGAATCTTAAACATTTAAAAACTTTATAGCAAAACTGTAAGTAGTCCATGGATCAAAGAGGAAGTTGCAGAGTATATTAGAAAACAATCTGAGTCAGGCTATGGCAGCACACTTTTTTACATCCCAGCACTCAGGAGGCAAAGGCAGGTGGATCTCTGTGAGTTTGAGGTCAGCCTCATCTACAGAGAGGGTTCCAGGATATCCTGGGCTATATAAAGAAACCCTGTCTCAAAAAACAAAACAAAACAAAACAAAAAAGAATTTGAACTGAATAAAAATGAAAATATAGCCCATCCAAGTTCCTGAGATAAAGGCAGTGCATAGAGGGAAATTTTGAGCATTAACCCTCAGAAAAAAGAAGAAAGTCTTGCACGCCTTTAATACCAGCACTGGCGGGGGGGTGGGGATGGGAGGGGCAGAGGCAGGTGGATCTCTATGAGTTCTAGGCCAGCCTGGTCTACAGAGCAAGTTCCAGGACAGGCTCCAAAGCTACACAGAGAAACCCTGTCTCAAAAAAAACAAAAAACAAAAAACAAAAAAACAAAAGCCAAAGCCAACCAAACAAAAAGAACAATAAAAGCAATTGAAATCTAACTCAAATATAAAGGCAGAAATCAATACCACAGAAAACAACAGTGAAAATTAGGGCTGAGCAGTGGTAGGGTGTTTTTCCTGTATGCACATGGGTCTTGGATCCCACCCTTCAGAATCACAAAATAAAAAAAGAAGAAGGCATGAATATCAATGAACAAAGAGCTGTTCTTTGAAGCGGTTGGTAGAATTAGTTAGGTCTTTTGTCTGGTCAGTGGAGAGGAACAGTGGAAGAAGAGGATCGAACGGTAGGGGAAGAAGAAGGTGAGAGAAGGAAAGAGAGAACGGGAGAAGAGAGACATCAGGAGTTGGTCCTACAGACCAAAGAGATGCTCAGAGTATTACCAACAGCAAACAGATCCTGTAGACAACAGACAAACGCCTGGAAAGACAGATCGCACCAAAGCTAATTCAGAAAGAGCGCTAGCTTATGCCACTCAGGCGTAGGAAAACCACAGACCAATGCCCTTATTCACAAAGATTCAAAATTCTTTTATAAAACACTGGCAAATGAATCTTGTAATATATAATAATGACCAAATGAGGGTTTTTGTTTGTTTTGTAGTTTTTAAATTATTTATTTGTTTTATGTGTATGGATGTTTTGTCTACATGTATATTTGTACATGACTAGCCAGAAGATGGTGGTGGATTCCTTGGGGCTGGAGTTATGAATTGTTGTGAGCTGCCGAGTGGGTGCTGGGAATTGAGTCCACATCTCTGAAAGAACAGCCAGTGCTCTTAACCGCTGAGGTATCTCTCCAGCCCTCTGTTGTGTTTTGTTGTTTGGGTTTTCCAAAACCAGGGTTTCCAGAGACAGGGTTTCTCTCTATGTAGCCTTAGTTGTCCTGGAATTCACTGTACACCAGACTGCCCTTGAATTCTCAGAGATCTATCTGCCTGCTCCTGCCTCCTGAGTCCTGGGATTAAAGGCGTGCACCACCATGTCTAGCTTGTTTAGTTCTTTAAGACAAGGTCTCACCATGTAACTTTGTCTGGCCTGGAATGTAGACCAGGCTGGCCTCCAGCTCACAAGAGATTTACCTTTCTATGCCTCCTGAATGCTGGGAACACACCTGGGTATAGCCAAATGGGTTTTATACAAAGAATGCAAAGCTAGTTTAATATCTGAAAACCAAACAATTCGTAACAACTACAAAAGAAAAAATCATATAATTATGTAAATTGTTCCAAAAAAATTAAAATATTCAACATTCCTTCATGATAAACTCTATTCAAAAAAAGAGAATTTCATTAAGTTGGTCTGAAGGGATCTACAAAAACAAAACAAAGCCAGGGATGGGGCCAAAAGTCTTTAATGCGGCACTCAGGAGGTAGGAGCGGGGGCAGGGTAGGGCCAACAAGAGCTCTGAGCTCACGGGCTGCTCTTCATAGCCTGTTCTAAGCTGGAAGAGTTACTTTGTAAGACCCTATTTTATGAAAAAAAAATCCGAATCAAATCAATCTGTGCTCATACCAGACTTAGGAAATATTGAATGTGTTCCTTTTGAGACCGGGAACAAGGAGGAAGGAGGTCCACTCTACTATTTCTAATCAACTTCCTGCTGGAACCTGAGCCAGCACAATAGGGCAATAAGAGGCATATCAATTGAAAAGAAGAAATGAAACTGTTCCTGTCTATACAGAAATAAACCTCAAGGATGTACGTACCAAAGACAAAATACTAGACTAAGACAGTAAGGCTAGATACAAGACCACTACACAAACAGCAGTATGTCTCCATACTCTTATTTTATTTTATTCTGGGGGGGGGGTTTGAGACAGGGTTTCTCTGTATTGTTTTGGAGGCTTTCGGTCCAGCCTGGCCTCGAACTCACAGAGATCCGCCTGCCTCTGCCTCCCGAGTGCTGGGATTAAAGGTGTGCGCCACCAACGCCCGGCTCCCTTTGCCTTTTCATACACATTGCAGCATCACCTTGCTGATCCTGTGAGGGAGCCTGGCAGGACTTTGATTGGCTCAGTTTGGGTGGCGTGGCCATCTGAACAACTCTGAGCCTTCTATCCACTGGCATTTTATACACGTGCATTTTCTTGGGTCTTCCGGTATAATTTGTTAGGGATTTTTCATTTTTAGTATACAAGTCCATCGTATGCTTTGTTAGAACTATACTTATGTCATTTGGAGGGCACTTTCATAAGGTACTTTAACATTATCAATTTAGGGGGCTAGGGATATGGCTCAGCAGTTCCGAGCAATTGCTAATCTTCTAGAGGACCTGGGGTCAGCCTCAAAAAAGAAAAGAAAAAAAAAAGAAAAGAAAAGGAAAGAAAAGGCAAAGGGAGGGGACTCGGAGATGCCAGCTACAGGACTCACACCACTTGAAGTCAGGTTTATATGAGTCTGGGTTCCCGGACACTGGAGTACTGGTGAGGGACAGACAGATGAACCTGTATGACATGCAAGTCCAAAATGCACCACACCAGACCCAGTTTTCCAAAAAGACAACTTAGCAGAGGAAGGTGAGCATTTTTTCCCCAACATACAATGCTGAGGCAGACATCCCTAGCCAAACCCATTCACCCCTAATCCAGATATTCCTAAGCAAACCTGTTCACACCTCATCTATTACAGACACTCAACTCAAAATGTTCTCATGTGGAAATAGAAAACCCAACATGACAAACTGCTAAAAGACTACATCCCACAGGGCTGGGGAAGTATTCCTTGGTTTCTTAGATAAGCTGCTAAAAGAATTACCCCTGAAAGAACACAAGACACTATTATGAGGACTACAAGACAAGTCATGGGTGGAGAATAAATACATGCAAAGTAATATCTCACAAAGTACTGGCTGTCCAAATATAAAGAGAGCTGTCAGACTTCAGCAAAAAGAAACGAATCTCCCAGCTAAATAAAGGAGCAAAAGATTTCTGAACAGACATGTCACCAAAAGTGACATATGGTGACAAAGAAGCAAATGAAGAGACTCATGTCACTAGTCATTAGTGAAATGCAAACTCAAAGTCACAATGAGATGCCACTTTACACCCATCAGGGTGGCTAAAATAAAACAGTAAAGTTGACAAGACCAAGTGTTGGGGAAAAGGAGCAACTGGACCACTCCTGCGTTGCTGTGGAGACAGAATGGATTCAGAGCATCTGGAGGAGTGTGACACACTTACCATCTGAAGCCCGAAACCCACCAACTTAGCCTGCTTCATTCAATTCCCACATTTTTTATAAAATGGTCTTGGGTTTTGCAGGCTGAGTCTGGTCTCATGTTTTCAGCCTTTCTGCTTTAGATGGGTTTCCCATCTGCATTCTGACCAACTCTGGGGACCTGAGAGACAGGAGGCTGTCCTATACATTTACAAGGTGTCAGCAGTGTCCCTGGCTATAAGATCAACAGCCTGCTCCTCTCCATCCCCGAGCTGTGACACATCCCAAATGTTTGTAGACATGGTCAGTGTCTCAGAGAGCAGGGGACAGAAGACTCCTGGCTGATAGGCACAGGTGTACATAAAATTCCTAAAGGAACAGTTCATTCGTGAACCTCGGCCTCTGTATCAGGTGTGGCTTCCTGTCCCAGCTCAGTGACCGTGAGAGCTATCACTCAACTTAAGGGCTACAGACTTGGAACCATGTTTTTACAAGCTGAATGTTGTGGACTGGGGGACAGGGGATTAAAGGCAGCAATAGGGATAGAGCTCAGGTTCTGAGTTTCCTGTTAAAGGCATGGAAGACACAGGTAACACTCTGATGATGGAGAGAGGAGGCAGAGGCAGACCCAATGACTCATGGGAACCTTTATATGCCAGTACTGCTCTCTGGCAGAGCTGTGCAATGGCAGGCATGGCAGGTGGGATCAAGTTCCACCAGGCGGCAGATAAGCTGCATTCCAGGGCAGTGACGTCCTCGAATTACTGAAGGTATTAGAGTCCCATTTTCCCAACCAGAAAAACAACCTAGTTTTTAACTAAGAAGTCCTCGGGGTTCTTTCCAGGGATATAGTGTGCAGGGCTAGGGAACGCTGAATCATTTAACAAACTTAGTTTCACGGCAGGGACACTCTGAGAAACAAGTCATTACACAATTTCATCAACATGCACACTGAGTAAAGACCTTGGGAAAATCTAACGAACCGACTTTCCCCTCGCTGTAGCTCCTGGCTCAGTACAGCAACCACTTGCATAGCAGATACATTGCACTGGGAATTATGAATGACCTAGAGGTGACGACTAAAGACACTCAGGGAGGTGAGTGCGGGTTATATGCAGACTATCCCGATGTGTGGATGCAGCAGCCTTGAACCTGCAGGTGCCCCTAGTGAGTCAGTCCCTGAGAGGGTCCCGAAGAACATCTATGTGGCTCACTGAACTCAGAGCTGGAACGCCAGTGAGCTCTGGAAAGAGAGAGTAAATATGAGGCTACAGCCAGCCACTGAAAATGGCTCTGACCACAGCCATTAAGCTTGCTGCCCGGAAGATTAGTACCAGGGACACAAGCTGCTAAATGGCAGTGTTCTCCTGAGAAGGCGGAAAGGCCACAGCCTCTTCTTCCCATGGAAACTTTCAAATAAAACAACAACAGCAAAAAACATGTCAAACTAAACTAAGAACTTGGGTGTAACTCAGAGGTTCAGCATGTACAAGGGGCTTCATCCCAGGGGAGGGAGGGAGACGTCTCAGCCTGACTGTGCACAGGGCATCTGGGTCTCAGAGCTGCCCACACCTCCCAGTGGTGGAGAACTAAGGGCTGGAACATCCTTAGACTCCCAGGAGAGAGGAGGGGAATAAGCAGGTGGCAGCCCCGGGTGTGGGAGCCTCAGTCTACAACAGAGCACGGCCTGAGTCTGGGAACCCCGTCCTGTCGTCCTGTCGTCTTCTGAGGGCCGTGCATCTCCTTACCTCCCCTTCCAACTGAGGGGAGGAAGACAACCGAACGAGGGCAGAGCAGAGCGGGCAGAACTGTCCCCGGCCTCCCCTGCATTGCCTCCCGTGTGGGAAGAGCATCTCCAATGTTAAAGGTCACCTCTCTTCCATCTTCACTGCTCTCTTTCGTCTAAGAGGATGTAAAAGACACTAACAGGCTGGGCGTTGGTGGCGCACGCCTTTAATCCCAGCACTCGGGAGGCAGAGGCAGGCGGATCTCTGTGAGTTTGGGGCCAGCCTGGTCTACAGAGCAAGTTCCAGGACAGCCTCCAAAACAATACAGAGAAACCCTGTCTCGAAAAACCAAAAAAAAAAAAAAAAAAAAGACACTAACAGAAGCCACCAGGAAGGACCCAGCTGGGGGGACAGCAAACACAGGAAAGAGGCACCCAAAAGACAGAGAAAGAGCTAAAGTATCATGGCTTTGTGGCTGGGGCACTAAGGCCCCAGTGTGGCTGCCCCCAAAGTCTTGGGTTAACTGGCTCCATGCAGCCCCTCTATTAGAAAGGGAGGCTGTGCTGGCAATTTTTATATCACCTTGACACAAGCTAGGGTTATTTGAGAAGGAGCAGCAGCCTCAATTGAGAAGATGCCCCCACGAGATGATTGATGGGGGAGGGTCCAGACCATTGTGGGTGGTGCTATCCCTGGGTAGTGAGCCTAAGTCCTATAAGAGAGCAGGCTGAGCAAGTCACGGGGAGCAGGCCAGTAAGCAGCACCCTCCATGGCCTCTGCATCAGCTCCTGCCTCCAGGTTCCTGGCCTGCCTTTCCCCCAGCGATGGGCTGTGCAGTGGAAGCTGAAATAAACCCTCTCCTTGTGGCCATGGTGTTTCATCGCAGCAATAGAAACCTAACTTAGAGCGGAGAGGCCCTGCCCCGCCCCCTCCACACACACACACTCCCCCAGCACGCCACCACCTCCTTCTTCATCTGCTTGAGCTGCTCTTGGAACTTGGCGTAGTCTCGATCCTGCTCCAGGCGGATCCTCTTGGCCTCCTCTTTGCGGCGCACACCGTGGTCCTGCTCCATCTTCTCCACCTGCTGCTTCTGCTGCCGCTCCAGGTTCTCCAGCTCCACGTCATAGAACTTCTTCTTGGCCTGGAAGGTGCACAGAGCCACGTCATACCTCAGGGTCTGTAGCAGACCCAGACTTGAGCCCCAGCCCTGACACCCTTTGCTGTGTGACCCAGGGCAAGTTATTTAACCTCTCTGAGTTGTTTCCTTGTCTGACCTGGCAGGACAGTGGCACAGCGTTCCACCTCTAGAGGTGTTCCTGTGTGACTCAGGGTCACTGTGACCTAACCACCCCCTTCTGCAACACCTCCGCCTGAAGAAAACTCGGAGGCCAGAAGTCCCTGGGGCTGTCTCCTCTCACTCACGTTGATTTCTTGTTCAAAACGTTTGTGCATTTGCTCCAGCTGCAGCTCATGCTTGCTGCTCAGTTGGGTCTGGTTCCGATGTTCTTCTTTCTGCAGAAGTCGAAGCTCTCGGAGTTCCTGGCGCCTGAAGATTAACAGACACAAGCACTTCCTAGTGAGACGGGGGCCTCTGAGACCACAGTATTCACAGCCCGGGGCCATAGAGGGGTGGGCTGTGGAGTAGAATCTCACTGACTTAAGCAGAGACATGATGAGGATTCAGGCTTCATTTGATATTCTGACAGACAAAAAGGTGAGTATCCTCCATATATAAAGAGCATTTACAAATCAGTTAGGAGGAAGGAACTAACCACCAACCCCAAAATTGTACATAACATGACAAGACATAAAGCATACAAGTGCAAAAATAACAAGAAACCTTACAATTGTCTATATGATATGAAATACAAACATAAAAGAGAAACATTTCATTAAATAGACAAGCATATAGGGGAATTCAGACTCCATGTGTTACTGACAAATTAATAGAACATTTGAATGATACCAGCAATACCTTTACACATTTGGCACCCTAGTTTCACTTCTGGATTGGATGAGGATGCTTGTAACAATGTCATTTATGATAAAATTTTACCCCACTGGTCCAAGATGGAAGAAACGTCCCTAGAACACCGCAAACTATTTCTATTCTAGAATGCAAGAAGCTTCCTTTAAAGCAATGGAGACGTCTGCAAAGCCCTGGTCTTTGGGGTGCTCTGAGCCACCTCAGTGCCTAGCAACCCACTCATCACCAGCGATCCCAAGAAGCCACAGTGCACAGTGAAAACTGGAAGAATTAATTCTCAGGTGGAATCCCCGCTCTGCTCCTTGTCAACTAGAGATAAGCACTAGCAGCTTATCTGCCAAGAAACACGGTTTCCTTGCACGCGCACGAGGACTAGGGTCCTGGGGAAGAGCTGCTGGAGACAACCGGAGTGTGTGCGGCTGTCACAGGCAAGAGGCTTTGCCTTACACCTCCCTTCTCTGCCCTCCCCCTCTCTCATTCTCACTGAGTTCTATGCCTTTTCCCTGCGGCCACTGCCCCAGCCTCAGCCAGAGTCTCATGGTCCTGGATATTTCTTCCCACCTCCCAAGTCAGTTTTACCCTCGATAGCCTGGGTCCAACCACCACACAGACCACAGTCCGACCCTCCTCTGTCCCAGCATTCCATACTGAAGTCCTGTTCTCTAAGATCCTGATACAAGCCAAGAGGTCACCCGCCAGGGCCTCAGCAACTGCAGATTCCCTCAGCACCCCTCTAGCTCTGGGATTCACCTCATCTTTCAAGCTCAGCCCAGGGTAGTGATGGCGAGGTCCCTACCAGCAATCTGTGCTCAGCCCAGGGTGGTGATGGCGAGGTCCCTACCAGCAATCTGTGCTCAGCCCAGGGTGGTGATGGTGAGGTCCCTACCAGCAATCTGTGCTCAGCCCAGGGTAGTGATGGTGAGGTCCCTACCAGCAATCTGTGCTCAGCCCAGGGTAGTGATGGCGAGGTCCCTACCAGCAATCTGTGCTCAGCCCAGGCACTCACTGTTACATCACCCATCCCTTCCTTCACAGCGTGCAGCACAATCAAGAATTAGCTTGTGAATTGTGTTTACTATAGGCATAAATTCAACACGGGGGATAGCTTTCTGATTTCCATTCTGATTCTCTTGGTAGACAATGCCCGGGTCAATAGCTGGGTGGATGTATGGATAGATAACTGACAGGTGAATAGGGGGTGGGTGGGTGGGTTAAGTGGATGGATAGACAAGAGCAGACGAGTACAGACAAGGGTAGATGAACAGATGGAAGACCGGGTGGACAGGTGGGTGATGCATGGGTGGGTAGATGGATGGATGGATGGACGGATGGACAGACAAATAGGTAAGTGGAAGGAAAAACATGAACAGCTGGGTGGTCTGTAGATGGGTGGGTAGGCAGACAGCTGGATGAATGAGTGGATAGAAGAGTAGGCAGATGGATGGGCGGATGGGTAGGGATCAGGTAACTAAACAGAGGAGTAGGATATGTAGATAGAGGTTGGGCAGATGGGTCATTGGCATGAGGATGGATGAGTATAGATGGACGAAGAGAGGGGTGGCTGATAGGCAGCTGTGTGGGTGGATGAATGCAGGAGACGGAGGCCTCAAGTAAAACCACTTTCCTTTTGCCTCGGCCCCCGACTCCACACTGCAGACAGGCAGCTGTCCCACTCAAAGTTCAAGGCCTAGCACTCAGGGTCCCCCCACTAGTTCCCACACTGGTGCTTCCCGGACTTGCCTGAGAAATCTCATCTCCTCGTCTTTCTTCTCATCTTCGCTGATGATCTTGGAGGTGGTGATGCTCACCTCCACACCGTCCACCACAAACCTGCGGGTCCGCTTCAGGGTCTTGTTGTGCAGTTTTGAGCCCTGGCAAGGAGAACATGCCCAAGCTCAGCTAGAAATCCACGGTGGAGACAGGGTGAGGTCCACAGCCTGGGCCCAGGGAGGATGTGGCAGTCCGCTGTCCTGCTCCCTCAAGCTTCCCAAACAGGGCCTAAGCGTCTGGCCTTCGTACCTCCTTCCTTCTGCTGGTCTCGACTTCAGACACTACTCAAGGCTCTTACCTCACTGAAGCATTCTTGCAAAACACAGTCTCAACATCAAAAAGGACTGTGTTCATCCTCACTGGCCACTGGCGGCTTTGTGACTCTGGACAAGACCCTTGTCTTGCCTGAATCTCAACTTTGACCATTGTCCATGGAGTATCAAACAGAACTTGCCTCCCTGGGTGGCCACAAAGGTTTGATGAGAAGCACTTGGGGCACACATGGCACGCAATTTACCTCTGCCAGTCATGATCACAGACACGATTCATTTAGATTTGGTGGCCTCAGCTAGCTAGCTGAAGCTCACAGACAACTGTTCTTGTCCGGGGTCTCATGGGGCCATTCCTCTCAAATTGTCTCCTGTGACGAGCCGCACTCTCCACAAAGGCCGCTTACAGAGGACCTGGCCCTGGGAGGTGTCATGGTTCCATTCCGACTCAGATGACGGCTTAGGGGCCAACCGTGGTTATCTGATGGTCTCTGTCCTGCCCACTGTCTCAGAATTCCTGCCCACCCCCAAAGCCCTTCCTCCTAGAATGTAGCCCTGCCTCCCTCTGCAACACGGCCCACGGGCCTTCCGGCCCCTTCAAGAGGAGCGGGCACACTAGGGTGGCTAAGAGTTGGCTCCTCCTCGCTCTGTGGGCTGCTGCCCAGGACACCTCACCCGGGCTCTAGGCACTCAGTGCCCCTGTTTTTTCATGGTGCTGGGGATTGAACCCAGTGGCCAACAGTGAAACTGCTGGCGGCAGACAAGGAAGGGGGTCACCCCTCCCAGCTGCTGAAGAGGACAGGGCTAAAGGTGCAGGAGGCCAGGAGCCCAGCCCGAGGCCTGACCACCTCCCTGCTTCCTCCCACACAGCCCTGCGCCAGCTGACAACCTCTTTCAGTCTCCACTGCCCATCTGGAAACCGTGGGAGGAAGCAGTCCTTCAGTTCTGATTAAAGCACTTTGCACAGAATGGCTACAGTCACTTAGTGTCACTCACTGCCAGACAGAAGGCCAGAGAGGAGAAATGAGCCTAGATTCCCTCGCTGGATCTACCTCTCAGCCACTGGCCACACAGCTGACCCCCAGGCAAGAGAACTTCCACTTCTGGAATGCTCTTTCCCCAATTTCAGACTCTTTAACCAAACTTTTCAATTTAAACATGTAACATTACCCTCTTATACTGACCCAAATATGTGGGGTATTAAGTCATGAGGCAAATGAAAATCTTTAAGGAAGAGCCACACTCACGAGCCATTTAAAGTAAGAAGAGTCTGAGGATGTGTGTGTGTGTGTGTGTGTGTGTGTGTGTGTGTGCGTGCGTGCATGGACAGCATGGCACAATGGCCAGCATGCCTGCTCTGGCCCCCAAGGTGGCAGGTGAAATTACCTTGAGAGACAGTGAGCCCGTTTCTTTGTTCAGTGACAGGTCGGCAGAAAGGGAGGAGCCGTAGTCCATGCTCTCCGAGGTAGACAGGCTGCTGCAGTCTGAAGCCCGCTTAGCATGGCCTGGAACTGCAGAGCTGGGGAGCCCCAGGCCACCATTGGCCAGCTTCTCTCCTCCTAAGGTCTCGAGGGCGACGCTGTTAGGGCGGCTCTGGTTTGCCTTTTGGGACTTGCTGGCCACAGGACTGGAGTCCTCAGCCTGGCCAGTGACTTCTTTCTCTTCGGCTACCTGAATTCTGGCATCCATGGACAATGGTCGGGACTTCCGGAGAGAAACGGGTACCTTTAAGTCACCGTCATTCTTGGGGACCACATCTTCGGGGCTGGTGGTTTGGAGGGATCCATCCTCTGAGGATTGGCTGCAGGGTCTGTTCACAGGCTCCTGAGGCTGGATGGGAGGTAGGGTGACACAGGAATCCTGGGGAGGCTTGTCAGAGTTCAGGCTTGGCTCAGTTGCACCAGCAGAGTCCTGAGTATGGTTGACCAGGGGCTAGAAAAGAGTCAGGGGCTGAGATGTCAGGAGTCCAGGGCAGGAGTCAGGCCCACAGGTGGCCGGCCAGCAGAGCAGAGCCAGGACCCTGAGCCTAGTCCCCATCACATCCCATAGCCTCTCCTCAACAGGCTACCATGGGGTGAGGACTCACCTCCTCTCTCTAATTGCTACTTTACCTAATCACTGCTCCGGTCCTGTGAGAAAAACAGGCTGTGGCTGGCTGTAGCCAGGCCCAGCCAATTGACACATCATGGGGAATACCCCTGTCTCACCTGAGGCCAGGCCTCCCAGTTTCTCAACACACACTGGCAATCCGAATTTTCTGGGGTTTTTTGTTTTGTTTGTTTGTTTTGGTGATGGGGTCTCAAGTAGTTCAGGCTGGCCTCAGACTTGCTGTGTAGACCAAGAAGACCATGAACTTCTGATCCTCCTGTCTCCATCCCCCAGCGCTGGGATATCAGGCCTGCACCACATGCCAGTTTTATGTGACACTGAGAACGACCCCAGGGTTTCAGGCAAATTAGTCCAGCACTCTACCAGCGAGCCATGCGCCCATCTCAGCCAATGAATTTTCACAGGGCTGTCTGTTGGTTTCTAGGTGGCAACTAATTCACTTTATAAAATTATATAAAGTGTCAATGAATCCTACCCAGGGGCTGGATTCAGTCCACCCACACCTTGTATTTTAGTTTTTGTGGGGTGGAAGGTACTGGAAACATCGTCATGATGAAACCAAATACTCATTTCTGTGAGCAGGACCTAAGTATCTACATGTGGCATGAAGGTGGAAAGGCCGTGGGGGGTTACAACTGGGAGTGGAAGGGGGCCAGGAACGTCTTCTATCTGGAGGAGAACCAAAAACAGAAGCCTAATTCTAATTAAAACATTTTAAAAATTCAAAATCAAAAGAGCCAGGCACAATGGTGCACACCTTTAATCTCAGCACTCAGGAGACAGAGGGAGTCAGGTCTGTGTGAGTTCAAGGCCAGTCTGGTCTATAGAGTGAGTTCCAGGACAGCCAGGACTACATAGTAAGACCCTGTCTGAAAATCTAAAACTAAATAATAAAAAGACAACAAATGTGAAGGATCTGCAGGTTTAGCTCCATGATAACTCACCTGACTTACTGAGGGCCCCATAAGATGAGCAGTTTCCCAGGAGAAGCTCCTGGATTGAACTGTGAGACCAGGACCTAGGACAGCTCTAGGTCCTACAACTCGAGAACCTGGATATGGCCAACAACTGCTCAGTCTACCCTGGCCATGGGTGTTTGGGACTCCCAGCCAGTTGGCCCCAAGAGGCAGAAAGGAATCCTTCCCCAGCCTCCCTCCCAGAGGCACTGGGGCCCACTCTCCTCCTCCCCCAGACTTACCGAGGTGACATCCACAGCATCCTCCTCTTCTCCGTCATCCCTGCCATCATCCCTGGCATCCTCGATCTCCTCCATCACCTCAGCCTTTGCCTCGGCCACCAGCTCCCGAAGAGCCTTGTTACTGGTGACACTGCTGACAAAGGGATGCTGAGGAGAAGACACACCTGTGTTAGAGCCATCTGGGGGGCTGCTGTGGGGTAGGAGTAGATGCGGGATTTGATCCTGGGGCAAAGAGGGCCAGCTGTGGTGCCAAGGCAATGCATGAACTTTGAAGTTGGTAAGAGGAACTCAAAAACCCTGCAGCAGGTCAGAGAGCCCTGCATGTAGAGGGGAGAGAGTCACCCCCACGTCTGTGACTCAAGCGGTGTGACCCTAAGCATGCCACTCCTCCTCTCTGAGCCACAGTCTCTTCATTTCCAAAGGACGGACAGCCATGCTGAAACCATGGGGAGTCATGAAGATGAAATGAGACAATTCACTTAAAAGTGGTGCCTTATAAAACCGAGGTCAGTTCATGTTTTGTTGTTGTGTTTTTTTGGGGGGTGATGATGGTACCATTTATGTGTATGTGTGTGTGTATGTGTGTGTTTTGAGCCATGTTTCCACTCTGCTGCCCTCACCCATTTAGCTACTTCATTCTGTACAGTTCCGTTCCTTTAGAGAACCCTGAATAATACAGACTAAATACGGTTTGCATTCTGATATGGCCACGAGCCTTTGGGGGGCTAGGGAGTAGAATGTGGCAGTTTGAGAATGGCCCCCATAGGCTCTTATGTTTAAATACTTGGCCCCCAGTTGGTGGAACTGTTTGGGAAGGATTAGGAGGTGTGGTCTTGTTGGAGGAGGTGTGTCACTGGGGCTTTGGAGTTTCAAATGATTTGTGCCATTCCCAGTGTTATTTTCTCTGTTCCATGCTTGAGGATGAAAATATGAACTCTCAGCTACTACTCCAGCATCATGCCCACCAGCCAAGTGCCATGCTCCCCCAAATGATGGTCATGAGCTCCACCTCCCTGAAACTGAATGCCCCAACAAACTCATTCTTCTATAAGTTGCCTTGGTCATGGTGTCTTATTACAGCTATAAAATAAACAACTAAGATATCCTCCCACACCCAATTACCTACAAATTCTGTAAATAAGGACTTTTCCAGTACATCCTGACCCTGAACTAGTTGCTAATTTAAGTTACTTCATATTGTATGTGCCACTGTTGTAGAGTCTCAGACGTGTCTCTCAAGTCACATGACTCCATCTAAGCAGATAGTATCTTCCTACTTAATCAGTAAGTTTGCTAACTGTGTTTCACTTTGACTTGTCTTAATTTTTTCTCTTTCAAAATAGATTTTTATGTAGCCCAGGCTGGTCTCCAACTCCCTATGTAGCCAAACATGACCTTGAATGTCTGATCCTTCTACCTCCACTTCCGTAGTGCCAGAATCACAGGTACACACCAGTATACCCAGTTTGTGCAATGCCAGGGGCTGAATCCAGGGCTTGTGTACACTAGGCTAGTCTTCTACCCACTGACCTATACCCCCAGTCCCCAAGATTCTATTCTGTGGAAGATGCGAGGCTCCATCCACCGCCCGAGGTCCCGAGGCTCAGCTCACTGCCAGGCCACACACTTCGGCACTGGACGCTAAGCAGTGCTTTCTACCACTGAGTTCCACACTACGCTACTCTGTTTCCAGGGCACTGTCCCACTGGAGGAACATGTCACCTTCTGTTAACCATGCAGCCGCTGTTGGGCAAATGGAGGTGTTTCCTGCTCTGGGTGACAATGAAGTAAGCAACTAGGGACAGTCTTGCATCTGTTGTCTTTAGGCAGAAATTTATATATTTGGTTTCAGAAGGGCAGTCAGAGACTCCTGGCAGTGAGCTGTACTCTATTCTAGGCTTTTCCACAAATGGTACTTCTCAGGAGTGACTGCTCTTTTATAAATCTTATAAAGCTCCAAGCAAAAGATCTGAGGATGTTTGGTCAGCCTGAAGCACCCTGGAAAAGCACCGTGGAGACACCGTCTGCAGATATCTCCTCTCTGGCACAGGGAGCGGCCAGGGTGGAATTCCTCAGCCCCTTCGTCATGGCGGGCAGAGGGAAAGGAATGCCAGGGGTCTAGGGAATCGTTGGGTTGGAATTTGCTCATCTGAGGTGTGTGGGAAGGCTCTACTGAAACCCGCTGCTATTGTCAGAAATCTTATTTGTGGAAGAATGGTGTCAACAAAATTGTTGGGGAAGGACTACATTTCTCACACCTCAAAAATATATGCAGGGGACTGGAGAAGGCTCAGCAGTCTTCCAGAGGACCCAGGTTCAATTCCCAAGCATCCAAATGACGGTTCAAAACCATCTCTAATGCCAGTTCCTGGGGATCTGACTTCTTCTTCTGGCCTCCATGAGCACTGCACACATGTAGAACACAGACATACATGCAGGCAAAAGATCCATGCACGTAAATGAAAATAAATAAAATGTTTAAAAATACATATTTAGAACTGGCAAAGCTATGAGAAGCCATTCCTATCTGTTGGGACATTTAAAGTGTCCCTGGTCTGGTGAGATGGCTCAGTGCCTGATGACCCGAGTTGATCCCCATGTCCCAGATGATGGGAGGGAAACACTGACTCACACAAGCTGTCTTCTCACCTCCATACTACGCCGTGAAGCAGCATGTCTGGCCCAATACACACATGAAGTCAAAATGAACAAAAGGTATAGAGCAGGAACAGAGCGCTTGCCTAGCATGTGTGAGGCCCTGGGGTCGAACCCCAGCACCATAAAAATCAGTCAGCAAGGCAGTTCACTGGTGGACAGCCAGCAGGCCGCTCCCTCCTCAGCTTGACTGAAAGCTACAAACGTCACTGCTTTAGTGAGCTGTGTCCGCCACATTTTCTTAGGCCAGTCTGACCTCGGTTCATCTAATCCAGTAGAGCTGTGAAATTTCCCATTCACCCCTGCTTCTCTGCACAGCTACGCAGCGACTGCGAGGACACCAAAGGAGTCATCAGGCCCATGGCAGAACAATGGTCAGGAGCCTGGTGGAACTTCCTATGTCTTTTGGGGGCCTTTCTGAGAAGGGAGGGGGAGAGTTAGGGAAAACTCCAGGTACAGAGTGTTGGGCAAAGGTATGGCCTTCAAAGACCCTGGGGTAGGCCTGGGCTTAGAGGGTGGAGGAAGAGCAAGAGGACCTCCAGCTGTGCCCGGGAGACAGACGGGATGCTGAGAGGGAGCCAGGGCGTCACACGGCCTGGGACAGTGAAAGCAGCACAGACAGTACGGGCCAGTGAGAGCCGCTCCCTGTTTATTCTCAGAAGCTCTGCTACCCAGTAGTATGTTACTTTGGCTGCTGTGTGCTTCCAGAGGTCCTGAGTGGGCTAGTCATAGAACTAACCAGCAGGTCACCAGGATGTACAGGGTTACGTATGCTGACTGGGTGACAGAGCCAAGCCACTTGGGTAAAATCCAGCTCCCGCTGTCAACACAGACAGGTCAGGAGATCCTCTTTGTGCCTCCGTTTGCTCATCTGTGGAGTGGGAATAACTGTATGGCTGTTCTATGTACTACAGTAAGTGTTCAAGACAGCACAGATCTTGCTATCACCAGTACTACCACCGCCACAATCATCACCATTATCACCATCACTACCACCGTTGCCATTACTACAACCATCACCATCACTATAACCCCGTCACCATCATCACTATTACTGCCATCACCCCATCACCCCCATCATCACTATCCTCATCGTCATCACTACCATCAGCACCAGCATCATCATCAACACTATCGCCACTGCCATCACCACCTCCACTGCCATCGCCGCCACCCCAGCCACCAGCGTCACAGCAGGAGAACAGTCCATGTAGTCTCTTCCCTCTCCCAGCCATTCCTCTACCAGAGCAAAGTTCTCTGGGAAAGAGGAGAACCTCCAAGATCCCCACAGCTTCTGAGCTCTGTAACACACAACCTGGGCAGGGACACCACAGGGCACTGCACCACAGCAGCTAGAGCAGACGTGGTAGAAACCAGCGCAGGCCCAGGCTTCTGAGGGCACGGGGCTTTCAACAGGGCACCCCACACATCGACCAAATCAGCAGCTCTTGAGGAGAACCATTTGTTCTGCCTGCCCGGAGCTCCAGGTCCCTAGGAGGAGGAGGGGGGCCGGTGAAACAGGGCAGCTCCCTGCAGGGGGCCCAGGGCAGGCGACTGGTGTGTGGGCAGCTCTGCCAAGGCTGACTAGATCTTGATGCCTGTCAAAGCTCTGAGACACAAGGAACGGGCAGTATGGCCGGCGCTGCATCAGTCCACCACCTCTAGACATGGGTGTAGAGAAGCCTTTCTGTCTAACTCAAAATGCTGAGGCCCTCAGAGAGCTGGACCTGAGACACCCCCCCCCCCAGGGCGGCCAAACATTGGGCAAACATTCCATGTGCTGCACCAAGCAGGTTGGTCCAGGCATTCATGACCCCCCAACCACCACAGAAAGCCAGATCAGAGCTGGCCTCATTGTCTGCCCCTCCAGGAAGAGGGGTGGCTGCTCAGAGCCAGCTCTGCTGAGGGCTTCAAGCTGCCAGCATGGAGGTGGCAGCACACAGCTTGCCAACTGGCACCTCTCTTTGGCCAGGATTTCTGCTGCCACTGAGACAGATGCCCTTTCTAAGTGAGCCTACTTTCTCTCCATGCACTTAGAAACCACTAGTGTGTGCGTGCGAGAGAGAGAGAGAGAGAGAGAGAGAGAGACAGAGAGACAGAGAGACAGAGAAGAGAGAGAGAGAGAGAGAGAGAGAGAGAGAGAGAGAGAGAGAGAGAGAGAGAGAGAGAGCCTTTTCTCTGTTTCTTTTTTAACCTTTATGCTCATGCTATGCGTACAGGTTATCATTATCTGTATGCTCATGCTATGCGTACAGGTTATCATCATCCATGCACGTGTGTATACCATGTGCGTGCAGTGACTGTGGAGGCCAGAAGAGTGACAGGTCCTATGAAACTGGAGTGACAGACAGTTGTGAACTGCCATGTGGGTGCTGGGAATTGAACCTGGATCCTGTGGACCAGTGGATCACAGTCATCTCTTCAGGCCTTCTCCGGGCCTTTCTTCTTTCCTCTACTCACTAGAAGCAGCTCCCAGAGTGGCCAAGAGCACGGACTTCAGAGTCAAGTCCCCAGAATGAGGACACCAGCTGTCACAGCAGCGTGACCTTGCGCAGGCTCCTTATCTGCCCAATAGGGAGTGCTCAGCTCCTACTACTGGAAGCTGTTGTGGGCACTGCCTTAGTTAACATCTGCTAAGCATCTGGAATAGCGGGTGACATGGAGAAAGCGTTTGAGAACGTTAATCCAGTAAACATGATGTCGGCTTCCATAGCAAATACTTGCTGACGCCTCTCTGTGCATATGAGGCTCTGCTCTGGGGATATGTCTGTGAGCCTGGCTGTTACCCTCAGAGTCAACACTCTTGTCAGGGTTTGAATCTAGAAGGTTCCTCACAGGCTCATGTTCTGAATACTTGGCCCCCAGCTTTGTGGTGTTATTATGAAAGCTGTGGGACCTTTAGGGGTGCAGAAGGTCATCAGACGTACCCCTTGAAAGGTCACACCCACCCGTTCATAGTGGAACACTCACTCCTACCGCCTGGCAAACAGCTCCCCACGTGCTACCGAGGCCAAGACCAGAGTTCCCTCCAGCTTTCAGGCCTTACCCCCTCTTGTGGACTCCTCCACCTCCACCAACCAGGAAGCAAAATAAATCCTTCCTCTATGCTGCCTTTACCTGGTAAGTTGTCTTTGCAATGAGAAGGACAAATACCAGCCATGCTAACCGCAGGGTTCTGTTTAGCGGGAAGGGCACAAACCCGGCTTACAAGGCCCCTCTGAGCACAGACTCAGAGAAGGCACAACAGCCAGTATCAAAGCCATCGACTGAGTGAGGGCAAGGCAGCGGCCTCACGGAGCTGGTGGGCTCTGGGCCTGCTCCGAAGGCAGAGGGAACAGTATCCACGATGGGAGACATGTGGAGAACGAGAGAGGGCCAGGCTGGAGATGGGCAGCCGCTGTGGCGTGTGCCTGAGCAGGGATCAGTGTGCTCTGTACGGCTGTGGCAAGGCTGAAGTGGCTCTGGGCATCCAAGGAGACACAGGGACAAAGGTCTGGGGTCAGGGGTCGATGTGCCAGAGGCTCAAAGCCAGGGGCCCCCACGGGCTGGCTCTGATCACAGCAAGTCGAGGGAGCAGAAAGCACAGTTGCTTACCTGGGTCATCAGCTGTGCCTGTGCGAGGCGGGTAAGCGGAGGAGGCAGACAGGGAGTGAGCAGCGGGAGGGGAGGGACAGGGAGGGCAGGAGCCAGCCAGGGTGGGATGACAGGAGCTCACTTCTGAACCCATGGAAGTCACTGCCAACTGGCTGTGGGTGAGCGTTAGAACAAATGAAGGAGGGGAATGGTTTTCCATGTTTAAAACTCCCTGCCTAGCCACCTGACAAAGGGAGAAACTGAGGCACAGAGAGGAAACCCTCACACACTGGTTTAGAGGTGCCTAATTTCAGAGCGGGGCCACCAACAGCAGCAGGACACTGGCCCAGCGACATTTGTGCACATGAAGTGACTGAACCATCGGTCCCTGGGAGCAGGAGTGGCTTAACCATGCGGGACACAAGAGGGCACAGCGTAACAGCCCTGCAGAAAGCAACAGACACCGGGCTGAGGTGCCCACAGCCAAGAGCCAGGTGACCTCAGGCGGGGGCTGCTCCTGTGAGCCCAGCGTCCTCGGGTCTGGGAGATGAGTGTGTTCTTCCAAGCCTATGCTAAAACAGGTGCTGGGTAAACTGAGGTAGAGCTCCTCCCTCTGCCTTCCTCCCCCTCTGCACACCGGGAATCCCCGGGCAGACACTGCTTTAGCTAGGAAGTGGAAATTCCTGGCTCCAGCTAAGGCTCCCGGCTGTCATGTGGGGTGGGACAGCTGGTCCCTGCCGTGACAGTGTCAGGCCGGCCGGATGCCCCAGCACAGGAGGTGTGTGTACAGGAAGCAACTGGCCCCACGTGGCTGAGTCTCTGCATGTGACAGTAACAGTAGCCCCAAATAAACACAACTCACAGAAAACGGGCCTGGGGGGAGACCACGCATTTGATTTTGAATCACACCCCCCCCCCCCCCAGCACATAGGCCCACTTCTTTCTTTTGTTTTTCTTTGAGATGGTCTTGCTGGGTAGCCCTGGCCGGTCTGAAACTTGCTATGTAGACCAGGCTGACCTTGAACTTGCAGTCAATCTTCCTGCCTCTGCCTCCCTCCCAAGTGCTCGACCAGAGCTGTGAGCCGCCACATCTCGTCTCCTTTCGTGTTTTAATAGCACATTGGGCACATCAAGCACTCTGTGAACACAGTGCCCCTCAGCTGAGTTAACACTTGATTATGTGTCATTCTGTCCTCACCTTCAAGGGCTCACTGCTGTCAACCTCACTCACCTCCAGCAGCTGCGCGGCACTGGGCCGGGTTTCTGGGTTCTTATCCAACGCTATCTTCAGAAAGTCTCGGAACTCCACGGACCTGGAAGGACAGGTTTAAGGAGTGGGCTGTAACACAGTCACCATGTGCCCAGGATGGGGTGCTTCCCCAAAACAACACTCCAAGAACAAAGGGGCCTCCATTGTCTGAAAGTGGAGGCAGGGTCTATGTGACACCCCTTCTTATCGTGGACATCACTGTCCAGATTGGGTCAGAAGTCCAAGAGGAACAGAGACTGAGCCATGTGGTTGCAGGGGCTGTTTAGGTTCTCCGTGGCAAAGTGGGATCTCATACGGCTACGTGGCCTTACTCTCATGCCTCGTTCAGGCAGGTAGTTCAGAAAGGCCTGGAGGTGCTCTGCCCCTCAGCCCAGCTCCCTGACTTTGAAGTCTGCTGGATCAAGAGCCAGGTGGTGCACGCACACACCGCAGTGTCACAGGTCTCATGTCCCCTTGGAGTGACATCAGACCTCTGTAAGCACCCACAGTCCTCTCCTTACCACTTGGAGGGCGTGAGAAGTGTGGGAGGGTCCGACTTGGCAATCTTGAGCAGGACTCGCATGGGGTTGAGCTCGTGGTGTGGGGGCTCGATCTGTGCCATCTCGATCAGTGTGATGCCCAAGGACCAGATGTCAGCCTTGTAGTCATAGGGGGCGTCCTTCATGGTCTCACAGAGCACCACCTCAGGGGCCATCCTGAGCCAATCAAGGAACAATAAGGGCTAAGAATTGGGCCCCTGTAAGTGCCGCTTGTAGCCTCAGGGTCTGGAATACCACCAGTTCCACACAGGAGGTTGGCAGCATTTTGAAGGCATGATTTGAATTACTGGCATCCATTTGTCTTCCTCAAGGGTCTTCATGAGCCCCTGCCATGGCCTGCTGCAGTTCCCGGAACCTACCACAAGGTGGCAGCAGCACTCCAAAAACAGAGTCCTGGGGAAGGGGCAGGTGGGTAAGGGCAGAGGGGAAGGTTCCAGCAAAACAAAAAAACAAAACAAAACAAGGTGGGACATTGGGGTAGACCAAATAGTACCGCACAGAGAGAAGGGGGAGGATGGGAAAGAAGAGAAAGGAATAATGGGTGGGGTGGGAGAGAAAGAGTTAAGAGTAATAAGCAGGCAAGGAAGGGCGGAGTACCATGGCGGGTTGTACAAACAGGACACAAAGTAATCAGGTGTGAAATTGAGTAAGAGAGCTGTGGGCTTGGGGTGATGACCACAGGCGCGCACTGCACGTGTGAGAGCATGGGTGCCGTGTGAGAGCGTGGGTGCCGTGTGAGAGCGTGGGTGCCGTGTGAGAGCGTGGGTGCTCAGAGCCCACCGTCTGCAGACTGCGGCCCAAGCAAGACTTCAGGTGTCTTCCTCTACCAGAGAACTTTCTTTTCATAAATGTTTTTAAGTTACAGCTTTGAAAAAGCAAACACAACAGGCAAGAGAGGCCCAGGGAGATTTCTCATGAGGACAGGAAGTGAATTTACATTGCTCTTCTGTCCCCACCCGTAGTCCAGCACCCAGAACCCAGCACATGTGTTAATCAGAACTGAAGCCCTTTTTAGGGACCCAGCTTAGTAGGGTGCTTTCCACTGTAACCCAGTTTACGGATGAGGTATGAAGAAGCTAAGCAGCGGGTCCCAGGCAGAGAAGTGGAGGCTGGGCCCACACTGGGAGAGCTGACTCGGGGCCCTGGGCTGGCATCCTGCCACCCACATACAATCCACCCAGAGGCAGCCACGGGGTTAGGCTTGATATTTAGCCTGTCAATCATTTCCTCGGAGGCCCCACAACTCACCAGTAAGGCGTTCCTATGAAGGAATCTCGCTTTTGCAGAGTTTTCAGGTTCTTGGCAGACACACCAAAATCAGCTGCAAGACAAAAACCTCAGATGAAATAGCCGAGGGACTCCTCTCCACCCCGGTGGGAGGTGTGGGCTCAGGGGTGCAGCCTGCAGGACGCTTCCTATCCAGCCAACAAGAGTGTTAACATTTAAGTGAGCCTGCTGCTGAGGTGGACACTTTGCCACCGCTGCGAGTAGGAACTGCTGGACCCTTCCAGGAGAGCATTTGACAATAAATCACAAGAGTCTTTTAAAAAGCCAGACTCAGTGGGGCAGTGGTGGCGCACGCCTTTAATCCCAGCACCCTGGAGACAGAGGCAGGCGGATCTCTGTGAACTCAAGGACAGCCTGGTCTACAGAGTGACTTCCAGGACTGCTAGAGCTACACAGTGACACTCTCTCACTCTCTCTCTCTCTCTCTCTCTCTCTCTCTCTCTCTCTCTCTCTCTCTCTCTCTCTCTCTCTCTCTCTCTCTCTCTCCTCCAGTAATCTATGAATCCAATGAAATAACACTAAAGGCCAGATCATGCCTTTAATCCCAGCACTCAGGAAGAGGCAGAGGCAGGCAGATCTCTGTGAGTTCGAGACCAGCCTGATCTACAAGAGCTAGTTCCAGGACAGTCACAGAGAAACCCTGTCTCGAAGAAGACAAAACAAACAAACAAACAAACAAATGAAATACCACTAAATGCAAACAAACAATATTCATCAGTGTGCCCTTCAAATACTCACACATTTGTAACCAGAATTACAAGCTATCATTAAAAAAATCAACATTTTAAAGATATTGTCTGTAAAGTCTTAGCCTTTCCTTTTTCCATTCTTTTCTTTCTTTTTGGTTTTTCTTTTTCTTTTTTTTAAAGATCTGTTTGCTCTTTAAACAGTGTTCTGTCTGCATGTATGCACACAGATCAGAAGAGGGCACCAGGTCTCATTACTGATGGTTGTGAACCACCATGTGGTTGCTGGGAACTGAACTCGGGAAAAGCAGCCAGTGCTCTTAATCACTGAGCCATCGCTTCAGCTGAGCCATCTCTTCAAGCCCTCTTTTTGGTTTTCCAAGACAGGGTTTCTCTGCATAGCCCTGGCTGTCCTGGAACTCACTCTGTAGACCAAGCTCAGACTCAGAGACCCGCCTGCCTTGGCCTCCACCACTTGACTTTTTGTATTTTTCTTAGCTTTTTCAAGAAGGATTTACACACACACACACACACACACACACACACACACACACACACACACACGAGATAAGGTAGGTAGTTAAAAGAGATAAAACAGTCCAGAGGTGCTTAATGCTTATAATCCCAGCACTTGGGAGACAAACAGGAGGACTGAGAGTTATACTCTATAAGAAACAAAAGAAAACAACTCTATCCCTCTTGTTGCCTAGCACATGCAGCACTGTGGATCTGATCCCCGGCACAGAGGTTTTAAATATCACGAAGAACTCGTCATATAAAGAACTTCATTTATATACTTATCAATACGTGTTTAATGTTATCAGGTTAATGGAGAAAAGGAGGCTGCATAGCTGTCTGTGCTGCGTGGTCACACCACGCTCTCCTCAGAAGGGCAGACACGCACTGAGATGCCCTAGAGGAAACACAGCAAACTGCCTCACTGGTGTTGGCTGGTTAGACCGGATGTGGCGCCTTCCACTTTCTGCATTGTGCAACTTTGCTATGATAAATACATACGATTTTCTGAACTAAGAAAAATAAATCGGTAAGATTTATCTTTAAACACACCCAATACATCAGCATGCCTTCCCACACCTAGGATGAAGAGAGGACTCTATGAGGGGAAATGTCTTCCAGGCACCTGCCTTGGGGACCACATTTCCTGGTGGACGATGATGGTCATTTATCCCAAGAACCTCCACCAGACACACAACCTCAAACCAGAGGGGAGCCTGGGCACAGGGCCGGATGCCGGCTCCTCTTGGCTGGGCTCATTCAAGACTCCCTGGGTACCATCAGGAGCCAGGCCGGATGAAGCAGAGGACACAGAGCCAAAGGGGACACAGAAGCAAACCCAGCCCTGCCTGGTCTTCAAATCCAGGCTCAGTCAGGGAAATGGAGCAACCAATCAGCTGAGGGGAGGGAGGAGGAGGGGGGTGGGGGACAGGAGAGATAGCAGGGGTGTGAAGCAGTCAGGGGGTGACGGAAGGAATGGAGCTCTGGGGGAGGCACAGGTGAGGGCCCGAGGCGCCCGTTCACTTAAGACCAACACATAAAAGCATCCTAATGTAGTTGCCGCCCCAGTGTAGCCTGTCACCCTAGTGTGGCGTTCTACCAATCTGGCGGGATTCCTGGGAGCACAACTGGAGGACAGTATGTGTGGAGCAGGATTAGAGATGACACGATTGAAGGCAGAATTCCTGGGGTAGGACTACTGGGGCAACGGTTGGCGGCAGGATTCTTGAGGGCCAGGACTGGGATGTAGGATATCAGGGCTGATTTGAGAAGGGAAAGGGCCAGGTACTAGGCACTGGGGCCGCTGAGGACAGTTGGCCAAGATCTGAGGAAGACATTTCTGAGTCAGGACCAAAAGGCAGGGGAGATCCCAGGGACAGGAGGAGAGGGAGAAGAGTCCTTCTGAACCACCTGGTGGGAATCCCTCACCAGTGGCTGAACAAGAACATTCCGGCACAGCTAACTAACTGTCCAAGGTCTGCTTCCCTTTGCAATGTAAACAGGCAGTTTTCTAGGGATCTCACCAGAAGGCACATTTATAGGGAGAAGACACGCACCAAAACCCTGGTGCAGCCCCGGTGGCGCCTTGTTTCACCTTATCCGGTTCTAGTCCCATCCAAGGGATCTACAGAGCTACCACGTGCACAGCTAGAGTCATCTTGGAAAGAGGGACGCTTCTATCCAGACTGCCTGTAGGGAAGTCTGTAGGGCATTTTAAAATTAATATTAATGATTGATGTGGGTGGGCGTGGCCCATAGAGAAAGGAGGGTTGTCACCCCTGGGCTGGTGGTCCTGGGTGCTATAAAAAAGCAGGCTGAGCAAGCCATGAGGAACAAGCCAGTGAGCAGCACCCTCCATGGCCTATGCATCAGCTCCTGCCTCCAGGATCCCGCCCTGACTTCTCGATGATGGACTGCAAGCTGTAAGATGAAATAAACCCTTTCCTCCCCAAGTTGCTTGTGATCATGGTGTTTCGTCACAGCAATAGAAACCCTGACTAAGAAACACCACACAGATCTCTCCAATCAAGAGAGAGAAGGAAGATTTTTTTTTCCTCAGCAACCTTTGGAGGTGTAACGTCAGTCTCCAATGGGTAAATACTGGCGATTCTAAGACAGCTGATTTCTCATTCTCCCTTGAGGAGTCATGCCTACACTTGGTTGTGCTTACTTGAGGAGTGTGGCCGACACCCATACCCCGGGGTGTGCCGTACTTTCTTCTTAAACATTTGTGTGTGTCCGCGAGTCTGTGTGGGCTCTCGAATGCTCCCAGATTGAGGGGAGGGTCAGTTCTCTTCTTCCACCATGAGAATTCCAGGGATGGAACTCAGGTCATCAGGGTTGACAGCAAGTGCCTTCGCCCACCAAAGCCATTCCTCTTCAGTGCGGCTCCTGTCTCTCATGCCAATGCCACCCCAAGCAATCTTTACAAAGTCACAAGCTGCACTGTTTAAATGGGCTAGTCCTGACATTCTTTTAATTGCGGAATCCACAAACCCCAGTTTGTCCTGAGTCAAGGTCCCTAAAGGTCCTGGGGATTCTCTGGGCTACATATAGAGAGGGTGTTGGCGTGGGTCTGTCTGTCCTCTGACCTCGCACAAGAAACGAGCAGAAGCTGGCTGGGATGGAGGCTGGAGGAGCTAGGTGAAGGGACAGGATAGGGTCCACCCCTATGACACAGATGCTAACCCTTCATCTGTTAGAGCTCATTTGGGGGCTGTCCTGGGGATTAAACTGACACATTTGCAAAATGACTCTGTTCCCACAGCAGGTCATCATGGCTGCTCCATGCAGGAGCCCAAGGAAAGGCCCGCTGAGGACCTGAGGCCTCCAAAGGCCAAGAGGAACAAGCCCCTCCTAGGAGTGGCCATGAGGCAGCTCTCTCTGCCTGGGCAGTGCAGACTGGACGGCACTGCTCTCTTTTCCTGTGTTGACCTGAGAGGGGGGCCTGCAGGTTGGGCAGGACCAGGGCTCCTAAGAGTGAGGTGCAGGCACAGGTGAGACCCCAGTCTGCTTGGAGAGCGGCCCTCAAGGGTTCTTGGTAGAATAGGAGTTGGGCTTTCCTTCCTGCTGGGTCAGCCTGGAACCTGTGAACCTGTTTCCCTATAAACACTCCTTGGGGTGAAGTTTCCAGAAACTGGCCATCCATTTCCCACCCCATCCGCCTGGGCCTTGCCACACCTTCTTCAAGAGAGAAGAGAAAAAGGGAAACCACACACTTCCACAATGACAAGCTGGCCCAGAGCCCTCCCGGAAGCGGGCACCAAGTCACTTTAGGGTGGCTGTTACGTCTTCCTTTTTACAAAAGGGGCCAGTGAGGAGGTGTTGTGGCTCCTCCTGGAACCCAGGACCTCATGCTTCTCCTGGTGTTTTGACTAACCTCTTCTCACAAAAGCATGATGCTCCATTTTTGAATAAGTTAAAAATGGGGCAGCAAGGTCACAGACTGTCCCTGATAGACAGGGACTCTCCCTATCAGGCGCAAGAAAGCCAACAAGTTTACTGAGGGAACATTCTCACAGTCACAGCTAAGGGAGCACAGTCATTGGGCTGGAGAGATGGCTCAACAGTTAAGAGCACTGGCTGCTCTCCCAGAGGACATGGGTTCAATTCTCAGCACCCACAAGGCAGCTCACAACTGACTGTAACTCCAGTTCTAGGAGATCTGACACCTTCACACCAATGCACATAATTTTTTAAATGAATGTAAATAACATTTTTTAAAATGGGAGCACAGCCAAGGGAGCACAGTCACAGCTAGGGGAGCACAATCACAGCTAAGGGAACACATAAACTTTGCTGGAAAATCTGTGCTCACGAAGCCCCGCCCACC